TTTTAATTTATTTAAATTTTATATTAATAATTTACATAATAATATAAAGTTAATAAATATTTTAACGTAATTAATATTATATTATTTTATATAAATATCTTATTATATTAATACAATTTAAAATATTAATTATAAAAGTTTTAATATATTTATAAAATTTATTATTATAAATCCTTAAAACTAATTTTAATATTTATTTATTATTTCCTTAAAAATATAAATATATAATACATTTATATTAATAATTTTTAAATTCATTAACATAAAAAATGCTTAAATTACTTTTTATTTAAAGATAATTATTTAAGAATTAATTAATTCTTATTTTATAATTATATGGTTAAAATGTTAAATAAAAGTCATTTATTTAAATATATAATTTATTAAAATCCGTAATTTATTTATGTTTTTTATTTTAATTAAATTAATTATTATAATATAAATTTATACTTACGTTAAAATTTCTAATTAAAATATTATAAAGTATTTATAATAAATAATAAATATTAATTTATTTAATAATATTAATAATAAATTAAAATTGTAATAAATAATAAAAAACTTAAAAAAATTAAATAATAAAATAAATCGATAATTTATTATAAACCTTAAATATATTTATAAGTAAACGAAAATATATTAATATTACATATATTATTATAATAAGGTTTTTTAAATTATTATAATAGTAATTTTTTTAACTTTATTAATTTATATTATTAAATCTTTAATAATATTAATTAATATTAATAAGTACGTACATATAATATAAAATAATAAATAAATAAATTAAATAATAATAAAAGTAAAATTAATATATTAATAATATTTAAAAAAAGAAAATTTTATTTAAAATTAATTAATAATATAATATTTTTTATATAATAATAATAAGTATATTATTCCTTTTTCCAATATTAGTAATAAAGCACCTTATCCTTAATAAAGTACTTACGCGTTAATGTCACACAACCACTACTTTTTTAACTTTATTAATTTATATTATTAAATTTTTAATAATATTAATTAATATTAGTAAATATATATATATAATAAAAAATAATAAATAAGTAAATTAAATAATAATAAAAGTAAAATTAATATATTAATAATATTTAAAAAAAGAAAAATTTATTTAAAGTTAATTAATAATATAATGTTCTTTTATATAATAATAATAAGTATATTATTCCTTTTTTTAATATTAACAATAAAGCATTTTATTTTTAATAAAATATTTATACGTTAATATTATATAACCACTAATTTTATTCGTTAATTTATTAAAATATTAAATAAAGTAATTAAACTTTAATAAAAGTATATATATTAATATAAAGCTTATAATAATTAAATTAATATTATAAATTCTTTAAATTTTAAAAATATTTTTTATTTTTATATACTTATTTTAATAAATTTTTATACCGTTTTTTTATAAATAATTAAATTTATAATTACTGTATTAAAAAATAACGTTTTAATTATAATGTAATTGTAATAAATATTTTTAATAAATTTGGTTTTAAATTTAATTATTTAAAAAAAGAACGTATAAAAGCGGAAAATAAATTCTTTTCCTTTTAAGTAAAAATAAAAGCTTATTTAAAAAAGATTATTAAATTTTAATAAGAAAATTTTAAATAAATAAACCGTATTTAACATTTATGACGTTAAAATAATTTAGTAAAAAGGAAAATTTTTAAAATAATATATTATAAAGAAAATTTTAATTTAAAAAAAAAGCAAGAAATTATATTTTAAGATAAAGATAATAATGTTAGTAATTTTTCTATTACTGCTTTTTCTAAGGGCAGCCCTTTTTCTTTTTAAAAAGATTTTAATTTAAGTTTAAATTTTTATTTATTTATAAACAATTAGGGTTTTTGCAATAAAACTTTTTAACAAATTTTTATATATTTTCTTTTAATAAGTAAAAAAATATTATTAAAATTAATATTTATACTATATTTAATTAATAATAATATTAATTAAAAAGCTATTAAAATATAATAAACTTATATTTAAGTTTATTAAAATATAATAATTAAAATTTTAATTTTAAATAAATAATAATAATATAAATTAAATATTAATAAAACATTAAAGTATTTATTAAAAAAGCTTAAAATTTTTCCCTTTATATAAATTAAATATAAAACTTAAATTAATAACTAAAAAAATATAAATAAGTAATTAAATATATAATAATTTAAATATTCTTATAAACCTTCCTATTCCTATATATTCTATATAATATTTCGTAAATCTATTTGATTTAATGGATCTGGTTAATCTAACAGATCCAACAGATCCAACTATATTGAAGATGCCTTCCGAGGTTTATCCGATACCTCGTGTCTCTTGAACCCCGCTTCTAGGCATCTCGGGCTATTCCCTTCTTGCGTTTGTTGTTGGTTCGTAACAGTATGGCATACATACACGTACACGTACACGCGCGCAGCTGCTAGCTACCTAGGTACATATTAAACGCCAACCATGAGGCAAAACGATAAGCAAGTTATACTACCACCTCAGCCTAACCCTCAGGTAGGGCTGGGCGCGGCCACCGCCAACGCCACCGCTCCCCTGCTGCTAGGCGAATACATGCGGCACGCCGTTAGCTCTCCTTCCTCCTCCTCTCCCTCCACCGCTTCCCTCCCAACGCAGCATGGATCATCGCTGGCGATCCTCGAACGAGACCGCACGAACCACATCCTGCTGTACAACGGGTGCTTCAACCCACCGCACCGCGGACATCTTGCACACCTCGTCCACGCGTTCCGATACGCCGGCGCGGGTCTGCACGTCGTGGGTGCCGCGATCCTGGTCGCGGACGACCTGTACCTCAAGTGGAAGCTCGCGGGACGGCACGGCGCGCAGAGGCTCGGCCTCGAGCAGCGGATGAGACTGTGGACGGAGGAGCTGGCGCGGACCGAGGTGCGCCGCCGCGGCGACGACGGAGACGCTATTATTGGTGAGTGGTGCTGGGTATTCTCGGAGACGCTGTGGCCGCTGTACGTGGATAGGCTAGAACATTCGTTCGACCGCGACGGAGTCGATGTCGAGTTTGTAAGACTCGCGGGGGGGGACAAGGTGACGGTTGAGTGGGTGGAACATGGGGTGTGGGGCTGTGATAGTATGATCACAACCGATGTCAGTCGACCGGTTGATTTCTACTCTAACAATGCCGGCGAGTTTTCTCTGCCGAGACCGCTGAGGGGTCATAGTGGTTGGGAGACGGTGGTCGGAAACAGGCAAGGAAATCCTACCCGGGAGGGAAGGGATAATACAGTGGACAGGAACAATACCGTACCATCGTCTTCGATATCATCACCGCAGCAAGGAAGAATTATTCTTACCACATCGCAATATAGCCGAGATGTATGGACATGCAGCCACCAGGGGAACGGCTGTACTATCTACTTTATCCCTAGCAGCCACGTCGAGCGCATCGATCCTGACCTGAGCTCAACTAAGATTCGTGAAATCATGGCTGACAGTGATAATCTCGATGTGAACCAGCTCGAGGAGAAGCTACGCGGGATGGCGCTAAGCCCGGGGTTGCTGGCACAGTATATCAAGGAGACCAAAATAGTGAAGGGCGTACAAGTCACAGGTAAAGTAAGGAACAGAGGTTAGGGAAAGTAGAAATGATAGACTAGAGACAGGTAAGAGGGATGAACTGCGCGAAGCATAGTCCGAAGGTTAATGTTAATATGTACTTGATACCGCCTGAATGATATCACATAGAAGGAGGTAGCTAAGGTTTCGCAGCCAACAGTGAGGCAGGGCGAGAAAAGAATATCAAAACTAATTTATGGTACGAAAAACCCCCCAGTAAGGGTTGTTTGATGTCAAGTTAAGGCAAATAAGACCTCTCTCAACAACCCTTTTCCCGCCTCAAAAAGGGCTACCACCAACCACCTTCTGCCCCTTTTATTGCTCCATTTCCTACCCTACATACCCCCTACGCGTCGGCTTAAACAACATCCTATGAAACAATTTGTAGGGAAAACGGAATTGAAACGTGTAATTGAGATGAAAAGCAACGACAGTCATAACTTTGATTTGTATAAAACTCTACGTTTTATTCATTGACATTTTTCCACGTATACCTAGGAAGTAGGTAACTTAACCGTGGATAGACATCTCATAGCAAGGGATACATAGTTTTCTATTCCTCAACTGTTATAATAGTAACTCCTTCAAACATTCCGCATAGTTTTTAAGTCATGACCGCCCGTAGTGTGTACACCCCTGCGCCGGCTCCTTAAAATGAAATTTCAAAGTTCCAAAAAAAAAGTTCCTAAAAGAACGAGGTGGCCTTGATTAAATAAATCGTGTAATAACCTTTTCAGTCGTAATGTTTTGGATCTTACCGCATTTACAATCTCCCTCCCTCCCTCCCTCTCTTTCTCTCTCTTTCTCTCTCTTCGCCTAGCAGGGCAGCTTCAAGAAACCTCCTCGCTTTTGGAAGATATCTTAACTTAAGGCTCCTCTTACCAAATCCATAATGGGCGAATTCGCTGCCACCGTGGGTCCATCGACGTTGAAGTGCCAGTATCCGGAGTTGTTGGTTGTTTTGCGACTTCCCGCTCCATTGTGTTAGACTTCTCCCCATTGCCGTTGACAATAAACTCCTGTCGCAGTATAGTCGATCCTTTTTCACCGTCAGGTTCTATCCATGCTATCATAGAGGCTAGTGTTGTCATGGAAGGGGTGCGGAACCCGCCATAAGGCACTACACCAGGAGGGAATGTAAAGCTAGATGCCTGTGTGTTAGCGGTCTCCGAATTTGACCCTAGCCCACCGGCGTTAGAATCCGAAGCAGCCGGCTGGGCTTCACCGCCGCTGATTTCAGTCGGTGCCGGATTTACGTTCGAGCTCGATGCGGTCAACATTAAACTCGTCTCAGTACTACTTTCATTGCTTCCATCTCCAGTAGATCGCGTGCCTTGCTCTTGAGTATTAGACCCACCACCATTCGCCCAGGTGTTCGTAGTAGGGCTGAAGCCTTGTGTGGAAGGGTTACCATTACCAGTGCCTTCGTTAGAATTGACCCGAGTTCCTGGTGCCTCTCCAGCGGAACCACCGTTTGAACCACGATTCGGGCTAGATATAGTTTGCTGGCTTTGTCCACCTGGAGTAACACCACCTCCGTTATTTAGTGCCGAGGAACTTGGACTAATAGTAGCCTGTGGGTTAAAACCTGTCCCGCCATTGCCGTTCGGCGACGCGCTTGCTTGCGGTGCGCCGGGAGCTGCGGATCCTCCGCTGCCCCCGCCTCCGATTGAATTGCAAGCCGGGCCATTAGATACTTGTGTACAAGCACTGGGTATCCCGCCATTGTTCGGTGTGTTGGTAGTTACTTGGCCTTGACCAGGTAAGGCTAGACTTTGGCTACCACCAGCAGGGAGCAAAGTCGATGAGCTAGAAATTTCTCCAGGCGTTACCAGACTGACACCACCGCTCCCGCTGCTAGGAACTGAGCCGAGATCAGCGCTCTGGGTGGCTCCGCTTCCGTCAGAAGGCAGATTATGAACTCTCGAAGCTGAAGCTGTAGGATCAACCCCACCTCCACCTCCATCATTCGGTGAGGTGTTCATACCAGAACCAAAAGTTGGACTTGGACTCGATCCACTGTTCTTTTGACCGAAGCTGTCACTGCCAGCACTGTTTGTAGCCGAGCTAGAGCTGATCCCCGAGTTTCCATTCGGGGATGTTATTGGTCTATTTCCCGGTGTAGTTGGACTTGGCTCCGCTTCTCCATTTGCGCTTGAGGATGCTCCACCATTCCTTAGACTTGGAGTGGTTCCGCCATTGTTGGGCGGTGAACTACCGTTGCCGTCGTTACCTTCAGGGGAAGTCGGTCCAGCGGCGGGGCCCCCGGTTGGGGACGACGATCCTGGTTCTTCTGTACACCGCCCCGAGGTGACGCCACCGCTTCCATTCGGTGGTGTTACCGAGGCACCTGAAGTACCTGAATCTCCGTTCCCACCTCCTAGGACCGCCGGATTTGGGTTCATATTGTTAGGCATCTCTCCTTGTGGTTGTCTTGTCTTGTGTCCAAATTGACTAACTAGTTGACTCATATCTGCATTAGGAGAAGGGAATATCACTACCGGTCCTGTAACCGCTGTTTGAGCAACACCACCTACATCCATAGATATGACCTCGGGCGGACTTGCAGTCGCGGGTAGAGGCTGAGGACCCGCACTGGCCCAGCCGTGGGCTTCGTTGTCAGGACTGTAACAACTGAGCGCATTGTTGCCACCACATGCCTGCGTAGAGTCACCTGTACACGAAACTGAGCATACGGAATCGTCAAGTTTCCGTGTGCCATTGAGAAAGTTTCCGCAGTAGCAGCTATCTCCATTTTCGGTGCCGGCCATAAGAAAACCATGACCCATGCAATGTTGAACACACCCTTCGTTAGTCAAAAGGCCTAGATTGTGATGCGGCTCCATGTTGAGCGCCCGGTTGTCGGGTTGATCAGCCCAGCAGCCACAGTAGCCCCAACCTGAAGCCTCTCTAGGGCTTCTCAGGCCGGGCCTGTTACGACCCGACCCTGTTTGCTGTGTTGGAATTGGCTGAGAGGGGTTTTGAGGCGAGGAAATTGTAGAAGAAATGGACCCAGGGCCATTTGTATTTGGACCGCTTGGCCTCGCGCACGTTTCCCGATTTGGAGTTGGTTGAGGGACACAAAACCATCCCCCATCGCAGTGAACGCAAGGCCAACCAAACCCGCAAGGTGCAGGCTGTGCCGGAGTCTGCACCGGCGGACAGAACCACCCATCAAGACATTCGTGACAAGTATAGCCTTCCCCTGGACACGGTCCTCGAGCACCGGAACTCCCGAATGGATATGTACTAGGGCCGGCAGCGTTTGGGCAATGGCAAGTCGGAGAAGTACACGCGGAACAAGAATTTGTCGGGCAAGGCCGACTGGCATAGACAGTCAGTGTCGACTGGCAATTCTCTGTTACAGTAGCCAGCTTGACGGCTAATGCGAAGGAGTGTGAGTTATTGACTATCTGGGAAGTGTCCATAAAGGGGACTTACCACCAGTAGCAGCTGTCTCAAGAATGATTTCTACAGCTGAGAGTGCAGGTGTCGTTGACGACAGATGAGAGTTAGTCGTAACGTTTCCTTTGGTAGAAGAAACAGAGCTTCTTGTTGTACTAGTTCGATCTACCGTGAGAACCCCTCCCGAGTTTGATGCTGGAGGCTTGTATGTAAGATCTGCAGCGACTTCTCGTACGACACTCTCGACGACCGAATTTAAGTCTCCAAGTAAGCTTGCTGCAGTATCAAGTGGCCCAGGGGCCCTCGATTGGCTGGTCTCGACATAGTGATCCCTTCGTACTACGCTACTAGCCGTCGCATGCACCATAGCATGTCCCTCCAAGTTCGTTCCATTGACGAAACTAGGCGCTACTAAGGGAATTACTCTGTCGAGTATTCCCCTTAGCTTACTTGTAAAGATGGGATTTTTATGGCTTGTGGGCGTAGACAATGTAGGAACAGGTAAAACTGGTTGATCCGTCAACAAAATAGGTACGCTTTCAGAAGGATCAATGCTGGACGAGTTGATGATCGATACTGCGTCGCTCGGATAACCAGCAATTTCCAGCTCGGAGACTGCTGGCCTTAGAAAGAGCTCGCCAGAGGTGATATTAGAGAAGCTGGCTATACCAACACCACGTTTCCTACGGCTATTTTGCCATCTGCTATTATTGGCGAGCGACTGCTCAGAGAACACATGGCCCCCTGTGGATAAGTTACGATTCTCGAACAACAAATTGGCGGATATACGGGAACCGTTATAGGTAGATGTGGCAGCTAGGCAGCTCGAGGAGAATATAATCGCGGTAAGCAAACGTCTCGCCATGCGGGAAGACGAAGACTGTTGAGAATCCATTTAGAATGGACGATATCCCATGGGGTTCCAAAGACGCAGCGAAAATATGTGTCGTCCAAAGGGGGGTAACCATCAAGCTGAGTTCAAAATTAAGCCAAAACAACAAGACCAAAAAGACGAAAACGGTAATGGTTTGGGCACGCAGGGAGTTTATAGAGGGAATATATTGGCGAAAAAAGAAAAGACAAGACTCTTATAGGCTCAGAGATCGATTTAGCTATTGCCGTACTTAATATCCATCTTTCACTTATTGCTATTTCCTTTTCTAATATCAGCACGACGGGAAGGACCTGACCTGACCTGGTTCTTGATTAGGGGGCTATGGCAGATGGGCAGGGACTCGCCTCAATATTATCGATACGCTATTTCCTTACTATAAGCCTTCTTTCGTAGCTTGGTACATGTTGCAATGGTCGTGGGAAGCGTCGATGGCTTTTATACGCTGAACCCCTTAATGATAAAGCTAGAGCGTGCCTAATGTGGCTCTAGGTGTCGGTGGGGATGAATTTATCTTCGTTTGGGGTTTAGAGGCTAATACTGATAATTCATATGCGAACACCTCCTCACTCGGCCCCTGCTATAAGTTTCTATAGTCAACATCATGCAAAATTTAAAAACTTCACAGTGCACTAGGGAATGGATCATAAGTATGAATTTTCAGAATCGAGCTGCTATTTTTGCTGCCTTAGTCTGATGCCTGCCTACCCGGCACCGATGCAATTAGAAAACAAGAACGAGTCTACGCCGTATGCCCCGAATTCCGCATTTAGTATCGCTTTCCTTCCCGGAGAGTATCCGCGTACTCCTCCAGCGGGCTTCTGATCAACTTCGTCTCGGACCACAGGTTGGGCGTCAGGAATCCGTAGGTGTTAGAGATGGCGGCAAAAGTAGCCTTCAGGGTGTTCTCGAGGGTCTTGGTCGAACCGGACGACGAGGTGTAGGCATCCTCGATACCGGCAAGCTGTAGGAGACGCTTGACAGCGGGAGATGCGACGATCTGGGTACCACGGGGGGCGGGGATAAGCTGGAAAATCGTATTAGTACCATTTTTCTTTCTCTTTCTTTTACACAATACTTTTATCGGCGGGTTATGTGACGTACTCGGACTGTGACGGAACCGCACTTTCCACTCTCCTTGACAGGTAGAGAGTGAGGAAGACCAAGGTTGGTACCCCAGTAACCACGTCGAACGGGGATGACGCTCAACTTGGCGATAATGATAGCGGCACGGATGGCGGTGGCAACTTCCTTGGAGGTCTTGATACCAAGACCAACGTGACCTTCAGAGTCACCAATGATGACAATAGCCTTGAATCGAGTTCGCTGACCGGCACGGGTCTGCTTCTGGACGGGCTTGATCTAGATTTGGGCATTGCAAATTAGCGAATATGTTCTAGCGTTCCTAATTTTTTCGTTCTTTTTTTTTTTTTTTAATTGTTTTGCCGCGGACTCCCTAGAATAAAACTGGGCGACAACCGGGGGAATATAGTCTAGGTTGATTCATACCTTCATGACCTCATCCTTGAGCTTGGGCAGGAAGAAGTCGACAATCTGGTACTCCTTGATAGGGAGAGAGTGTAAGTAGATCTCCTCCATGCTCTTGATCTTGCCAGCCTTCACGAGACGACCAAGCTTGGTGACGGGCATCCACTCCTTCTCGCTGTCCTTCGCACCACCGCGACGACCTCGGCCTCTGCCACGGCCGCGGCCACGATCGCCGCCTCGGTCACCTCGAGAACCAAAACCGCCTCCGCGGGCACCGCCTCGGTCAGCCATCTTGAATTGTATGTGGGAGTTGTTGGCTGTTGGGAAGTCGTTAGTAAGGTAGTGTGCGCAAAGCGAAAAACCCCCCGAATTGAGCTTTTGTGATGGCGGTTTTGAGGTTGGCCGGAATTTCGAAGTTTGGGAATTTTGCAATGGAGGGGCCCTACAATTTTCGAATTTCGTTCTGGGTTTGTGGGATAATGGGCCCCAGCCGAGGTGGTCAGTGCACGCTATCTGCCGATCCCCCCGATAAGGTACAATACAAGGGTACATATGGTATATGGTACGTACCTAGGTACCCACTCTAGCCCGTGCTACATGTCCCGACTTCTCGTTACCTTTCATATGGACGATTCCAACTATTAGGTACATAACTTGCCTCGTACTGAGTAAGTAGAGAATTGAACTGGATTCACTTATTTCACAACTAATAAGTCGTTTACTACCTACCTTAGGTACCTACCATAAAGCCACGGACCTTGTCGACGATGACCTATAGAACATGCGTGTTAGGAACTCGAAAAGGCATTATATAAGAGCTCCTAGCGATAACCAGTCGGGCGTAGCACAATGCACTATATCTCGTGCAAATGTCGAGTTTCATTACCACAATCTAACGTCATGTGCCAATGCTGAGCCTATGGCCTAAGCCATGTGGTGATAACCGTGGATAGTCCCCACGATTGCACTCCCAGGCCTAGGTCATATTTACAATAGGCATTTTGATTTTAGTAACCGAAGACACCCCCGAGCCCGACCTGAGTATTCCAATAGGAGTAAGTGGAGTAATAAATAATGCGTAATTCATGCTCAATGTAAACGACGTAAACGACATAAACGACGTAAAAGGAGGACGAGGTTGTGTAGGGTGTATTTGAAGGCAATATAAGCACAAAGAATTCCTGAGAAGGAGGGTATCTCATCATCATTCTGTCCGCAACACAAGCCACAACTCCCTACTCATCCTTGCGGATTAAAGAATCCGAAGGGCTAACTCGTTGTGCCCACTCACTGCTTGCTGATTAGCCACGAGGAAATCGCTAATAAGAAGGGTCTAACTCACGTCCAGCTGCCGTCGTACACACGCCGTGTCTCAAAAGATCCGTATCCTGCCTCCTCGAGAGCTGTATCAATAACAACTGCCGTCACTCCCGTCCCACAAGTCGATATAATCGGTCTGGAAGGATCTACTCCTTTCTCCTTAAATAACTTCTGTAACTGCTCTTTCGGCAAGAATGCTTTGGTCTCAGGATCGAGGACGGCACTAAAGGGAATGTTGATAGAGCCCGGCATATGACCGGATGAAAGACCCTCTCTGGGTTCGGGATCCTTGCCGGCAAATCTACCAGCAGGCCTTGCATCGATAATCTGAACTCCTTCGGAGCCTTCCTTATTATGATCCAAAGCAACCTCGCGTACCTGTTCAAAACTTGCGACTTGCTTTTCGTCCGTCTTGGGAATGGGGTACGGGTTGCATTCTACGCTGTAGAGCTCTCCCGACTCCGTGGGAAAGCCTTGCTCTACCCATAGCTTGAAGTTGTTTAAGATATGTACCTTTGGGTGGCCGAATACCCTAAGAGTCCAGGCTACTCTCGGCGCGCTGAAAATGCCTAGCTCTTTTGAGTCATAAACAACTACCGTATCATCCTTTCGAATACCAAGCGAGCTCATTGCTTCTGCGAATGTCTTGGCGCTCGGGAGCATATGGGGATATGGACTCCGTTTATCGTTGACTTTGTCGAGGTCGAAGAAGCGGGCCTTTGGTATTCGCTTCTCGATGAAGACGTCAATACCCTTTCGCTCGTCATTTGGTAAAAACCACGAGGCGCATAAGGGGATAATTCGGGGTTCGGGGCTGATAGATGATGGTGGACTCTTCTTCAGAGCGTCTGCCAGTTCAGCGGGGGTAACTAGGTAGGAGGACATATTCCGACGAGGTTCTATGAAACCAATTAGGCATCTCTGGAAGCTGCGTCGTGGAGAGAAAGCTCGCGTGGAGCGAAATATTGCAAGAGTCGCCATAGCTGGACACCGCTCTGTTATGCGACTTATGCAGGATATGGTTCGATTGTGAATTCTTATATTCGGGACGTAGTGATACTTAAGAAAGGTTCGTTCTCTTGGGCGGGTGAGGTCCGATCGTCGCTTAAAAGTGAGCAATCTAGCTGGCACCTCGCCCGGAGAGGTCGTGAGTTAACGGTAATTGAATAGAGGAAAAGTGACGCTCGGATGATCGAATAAGCTCCAATTTGTTCTAAGAGCTTTGGAATAAAAAAAATTTAAATAGTATTGGTGCGGGGTCTCTTTTTAGGTACCTACAGTTTGTTACTTCCTTTGTTCAACCAAAATACATCCAAACGGGCGCTTCGATTGTCAATGATAATGATATCTTGTAACACAAGGACGAACACCTGGGTAAGCTTTGCGATGGCATGAAGTCAAAATCTCGATTCTCCAATTACCTACGAAGTGGCTGCCCGATAAGCAAGGTTTGTACCTGACCATGAACGGCGCCTGCTATCTACGAAATTCAAATTCAAATGTGGAGTACATCCCACTAATATCAGGTGTGATGCCGAGCAGTCCGAAGTACAAGACCAGAGGTAGTACATAGGTAGGTACCTGGCACGTTTGCATATTATGCTTTAGTTACATATATGCACATCATCTGACTAACAATTCATTATTTGTGGTTGTACGTTGTACTACGGGATCCGTCCCTGTAAACAATAATACAAGCATACAACGCCAGTGCTCAACGAAATAAAACATCTCGATACTAATCAATCATCCAATCCAATCCAATCCAACTCGACTAGAATTACTCAATGAAGGTCAAGATAAAGCAATGGGACGCAGTTGCAACGTGGAGATGGGATCTACCAGAAGATGATGTCTGCGGTATTTGCCAAGTCCATTTCGACGGGACGTGTCCTACTTGCAAATATCCTGGCGATGATTGCAGTCTTTGTAAGCTACTCTCCCATCACGGGTATTCACTTGTAAATATGGACAGAATTTAGCTAATCCTTCACAGTATCAGGCAAGTGTGGTCACAACTTTCACATGGTTAGTGGATCAAAGCTTTTTTTTTTGCCAGAACGTGAACCTGCTGACATTGGAAAAGCATTGCATTATGGAATGGATAAAGCAAGACTCAGCAAAGGGTCAATGTCCTATGTGTCGGCAGAGTAAGTCGACCTCGTCTCTTTTCGCTATGTTCAACGGGCTTGCAAGTTAATATATCATGTCATTCAGAGTTTGAATGGGAAACAGAAACAGGAGCAGCTCAACAACCGGTTGACGGCGAGCTAGACCTGAATGACGCCTAATAATGAGAATGAATATGAGAGGTCAGCCAAAATAGATTCTGTTCCTTATGGCGACGCTGGAGTATATGGAAAGGGTTTCATTCTTCATATTTTTCCGATGGAGTTAGGAGTTTGTGAATAGTAAGCAATATTGCCCAACCTTTTGACAAAAAAAACCTACCTAACTTATATGTAATAAGCCATTAGCAGGATTGACCTCATAATCATATATTGATCACTTTCTGTCTTCTGTCTTAAGGACCGGATATCTACATTTGATATGACTACCTAACCTTAGGTACATATCATTAGGTATAATAGGTATCATTCATACCAGGTTAGGTACCTACCAGACATACCTTTTAGGTAAAAACTCACTCAGGTTATGTTGTACTGTACCTAGATAAGTACCTACCTAAGTGTTAGCCTTTCGGCAAGGATTTCCCCGCCCCTGCATGGCATTCTTGGGCGTTTGACTTTCTTACCTATGGAGCTTAAAGCTTCCATTTCCCCACATAACGATAAGATAGAAGCTACAACTGCTACAGCCTACAATAGGTAGCTTTCAAGTTCAACCAAATAGGGCGAACTAAAGGCTGATCCAGTGGATAAACCTGGTCAAAAGGCAACATGTACCTCGCACGGCTTGCAGCTTGCATGACACCCTGCAGTCTCTCAGTCTTCAATCACTAAAGGTACCTGTGCCCATCAGCAAAACCCTTGGGCCCTTTTTCTCACCTATTAACTTTCCCAATACATGGACCCTCGGAGCCATGATGCGCCAGCTTCTTCTTCATCATCAATTCCATCCGGACTTTTTCTCCGCTCCTCTCGCACAGCTAGCCCTCTCCATGATTCCCATAGGTTAATCTTCGAGATGACGGAACCCCCATTAGAACAGCCGCCGATGGCGGATACTTACGACGACCGAAACCGCGAGCCGCATCCGTTTGCGCCAATCTTCACTCTCGTGAACAATGCATCAACGCGTACAACCCACCATCCACATGTGCGCTACATCTTCAGCGACGATGACCCAGACATCCTAATTCAAGCATTAGCCGAACTTGATATCGGTGTCGACGGAGCAGCCTCGGACCCAGCCTTATCCAATAGAGCCATGATATTGGACCTAGCACCCGATCCCACAGGCGGCTACAGTGTGGCTTGGGTTTCAAGCTTGTCACCGTCATGGGCAGTGCTGGATGCGCAGGTCAGCCAGATAGCTCCATATTCGTCCGACGGAGAAAGCAATAATGGCAATGAAGGTGGAGATGGAAGTAGTCGGCCAGATCGACTTATGCTTAAGATCGAAGGTGTAGAGAGCAATAGCTTAGGCTCGGAGGGTGGGCTATCTGGAGAGGCAAGCAGACACGGCTCGGGTAGCGGAAGTGGCCAGCATGATCGTGACCGAGGAGAAATCGAAGACTATACCAACATAATGGACAAATTTGATAAGCAGATGATCACCTTGAGGAAAATCGTCGACGCCAGCGAGGAGAGACAACGGAAGACGGGTACAGATGCCTATACGACGACGGAGTCCCCACAAGAGGTAGCGGGCGGATCCCAGCCGATGGATTGAGAGATTGGGAGACTTGGAAGAAGTCAAGACTTATCTAACGCCAAGTCTGAATCACATTATAAATTGTCCTTGGGAGGTATCTTGAATTTATTAGAGTAATGGACGGAATCAAAGTACTATCACCGGTTGAAACGTCACGGAGAATGATGAACAGGATTACAGAACTGCAGATCGTCGCCTCGATAGAAAGAGCATTATACGGAGCTCGGGAGCCGAAACTAGGAGGGTGTGGCTTAAGCCTCGCCGCGGGGATGTTGGTCACGGAGGGTTTTTGAATTCTGATGTGTACTATTCCTAGTATTATCACGCCTTGTCTGTGGAACAAGTCAGCGAAGGCTTGCTAGGACGTTGGTATCAGCATATATGAAATGTCTTACTAGAAGCAGTAAGCTAGAGCCGTCCAGTGCTTTAGATGGTATTGTGTACCCAGCATGAATCTTATAATAAGCAGCACAGAATGTCGGATCCATCACGCACCTACAACTGTTTTTTCAGGCATGCTACCACAATGCCCTTAGGAGGTATTTATCACTCCCCATATGTCCTAGATTTTTACTCTACGTATCCTAGTTCCGATTATTACTTAGGCCTGGTTGTAGAGTTGACATGATGCAAAAGATGGAACCATTTGCACCACTGGGGGGATGTGGACAGGCGTTTGATGTAAGAGGTTAGGTAGAGAGAGAGAGAGAGGGAATGGGATCTTGTATACCTAATAGGTACTACAGATTCGAGATCCCCTTGATTGACTAGAGTGTCATGGATATTAAATCTTACGCAATACCTAATTCAATTTCCATCTTTGTACGTACCAGCGTACCTACATACCTACCTACATAGGTACGTGTACCTTACATACGTAGTAGGTAACATGTAGTGACAAGGTTCACTGTTTGACGATTAACGATTCCGACCCCATCCCCATCCCCAACCCCTGGTCCTTCGTAAATCTCAGAATCTCAGCCACTGGACCAACCACCAATTGCATGTCTTTCGAGACTTGTTTGAAACGCCTATTTGTAACAAAGTCTGCCGCAGATTACGGCCATCACAGCCCATCAAAGCTCATCAAAGCTCATCAAAAGCCATCACAGGATTACCTTACCACTGTTACTATCTGACCAGCTCGCCAGCATAATCGATAATAATAACCTTGTCTAAGTAAGAAGCTGAATTCTATTGAAATACAGATCGCCCTGCTCTTTACCTGCGGGAGAAAAAGCTTGGCATTCATTTCTCTTCTATTTTCTTGTTTGTTCTCGTCTGTTTTTCTCTTCGGCTGGCCTGAACTAGCGATTGTAGTGCTGCGCATTCTACCGCCGCTGAATTTCCCTTCGTTTTTCCCCCCTTCTTTATTTTTCGATTCTACGTCGTCGTTTTATATACTTTTTTTTAACCCTATTGAAATTTCTCGTCATACCTTGATACCCCTGGAGGAAGAAGATAAAATAGGAAAACAAAGACACAATGTTCGGAAAGACACGTATTCCGCCTTATAACCCGTCGGCGAACGACATAGTACGCCGTCAGTATGTCGAGGAGAATGGTCGTTATGTCTGGTTTTGGTATACTCGGGTACGTAATTGCACGTCGCAACTTTGAAACTATTTCTAACTTTATGGCTTACAGACAGGCGTAATTGTCAAATGGTCGCTGTTCCTAGGTATCCTCCTGCTGCTGATGCTGTACCTCGTTTTCGGCCGCATGCATGCTAGGAAGCGCATTAGGGCAGGTATGAAGCCAATGGCCTACCACGGCGTAAGTACAATTTTCTTTCATCATACCATTTCATCCGTGACGTTGTAGCAAATTTAGCTGACATATTGCAGTGGCTTCTTTCCCGTCAAGAGAGAGGCGCCGTCGACCCCCAATATGCTTGGCCACAAGCCTCGTACACGCCATACCAACAGGGACCGGGTTATGGAGCCTCTGGCTACGGCATGCACCCTATTCCTCCCCCCGTCTATGACCCTAACAACCGACCCCCAATGTACGAAGGAGGCTCTAAGATCGACCCAGTCCAGACCGGCGTAGAGCCGACGCGACAACCTGCTGGTAATGACTATGCTCCACCTCCTGGTCCCCCACCTTTTGCTGCGCAGAGATAGGTTGTTTGGTTGATTAGGAATGAATGAGGGCACGGGCAGGTTTATCACTTAATGCCCGAATACGTATAGGGAAAAGTATTGTGTGTGGAGGACTCGCCAAAATCCATGCCCAAGCTTGCACAGTACGTAGCAAGAAAATAAGCATTGAATATGACAGATGACTTGTACGATTAGGGTACAGGATAATAATTTCATTGTAGCCTACATTGCCGGAATGTGCGCCGTCATACGCCTCAAGTAAAGAATGAACACCCAGGTCCCTTTAGTATTGCGCCCGCCCACCAGGGTATCTATAATATTAGCCAAACTCTGTATCCGTTATATCTATAATCCGTTCAGTCCATCTCCATCGCATCTGGGTCGTCGACCGGTGCAAGCCCGGCTCCATTATGGTTCGCAAATCCATTCAAACTAAACGGCGCATATTCGTTGAACGGGGATGGATCAGGTGCTGTGGATGATGGTACTGACAAGGAAGCCGGGGGATTCGACGGGGGTGTAGATTGTTCACTCTTCTCCTTTTGCTTGTCCCTGGCCCTCTGTCTCGCTTCTATGATGGCTCTCCTCACGTTGTCTTGCTCCTCAGGTATAGTTAATGATGTTGGCTCCCGGTATAACACCAATTGCATTCCAGCAAATTCGCCGTCCTTGCTAGCTAGTACTGAGGGTGGGATGCGGGTCTGCATGAGATGCTTCTCTATGTCGGGTATAAAGATAAGGCGGCCGTCGGTATCGGATTCGGCATCCGAGAGCTCGTCGTCCAGATTATATATGTACACCTTGTGCTTCGAGTCGTCGAGCTGCATGCTGTCATTCTCGGGAATCTGCTTTAGTATATTGCATTCGGTCGGCCTGAGCTTGGGGCTCTCGACCGGGACGTAGAGTTTCTGGCCATTTTGTTCTGCCGTGGAAAAATGACGTTAGTGGTACATTGTCTAGAGTTATCGGGGAATGAATTATGAGGATAGCCTACCGAGGTTGAGAAGACTTAATCGCTTAGATAGTCTCTCATTGTCCTGAGACTCAGCTTTCCTCTTGCGCATCATGCGCGTTCCTTCTCCGACATTTAAGTGCTGCTGGTTATTTGGATTTGGACTGTGTTGTTGCAACAAATCGGAGGTAGAGGGTTCATAGGTGTTGGAGCTGGGGTTAGAACTGGAATTGGGGAAGGGAAAATAGTTCCCATTGATGGAAGCCCCGTTGATGGAAGCGCCTGGAATGGCGGGAGTAGTAGCTGCGGTAGCGGGGAACTGCATAGCTCTAGGATTGGCCTGCAATTGCTGTGGGTTATATGGGAATCCGGAAAGCGCAAAGGCGGTTGAGCTGGGTCCAACTTGAACATCCATCACGGCTTTCTCCTTAGGTACATTACCTAGGTACCTAGATAAGTAAGTACTTAGGTAGCTATTTTTCTTTATCTTTGCCCCCTCTTCTTATCGAGCCTCAATTGACTGACTTGGGTAACAGCACAGTAAAAGTATATGTCCGTATTGGTCTTGATACTCCTTTTTTGCGATATATAGTTCCGAAGTCGCAGGTTCGATTAAATGCGTAGAAAGGATCGGTACGTATCGATTTAATAATACCTATACCAGGTAGGTAGCCTTTTACCTATACCTAATGTTAGGTAGGTATTTTTAGGGGTCCAATTCTCAGGCTTGGGTTGTTTAAGCGTTCTAAGCCGAATGAAAATCCAATGCGGCGGACAGTCGCCGTTTATAGGCGGCGCATTATTGAGTCACTCTTGTAGAACTTTCTGTCCTTTTTCTACGAACCTGGCCGCAAACATTCTTCGGCCGGCTTCCAATTACTCCACCACAACGAACAAATCCCTACTTCGCAAATCCCTACACGCATATTCGCCTCGCTTAGGTTTTTTTCTTTCTCGTTCATCCGCCTCTCGATTCCGATTCTCGACAACAAGAGCTTATAGTACCGTCGCCGTCATGGGCGAGTCTAAGTGGACCGGCGTTGGCGTCCGCAAGACTTTCCTCGAATTCTTCGAGAAGAAAGGACATACGATAGGTACGCCATGTTGCAACACATATTCCACGACACTTCTTGTTTTTTTTTTTTTTTTCTAAAAAAGAAAACATTGAAGATAAATATAAAGATGCACCTGATATATTCTTCTAACATCCTTCTACGAAATAACATGATAGAATGTAATATAAAAAAAAGATTTGCTAATTCTCCTCGCTTTTCCCAGTGCCTTCATCGTCTGTCGTGCCTCATAATGACCCCACCTTACTCTTCACCAATGCGGGCATGAACCAGTTCAAGCCCATATTCCTGGGAACCATCTCTAGCACCGATGACATGTCCAAGTTGAAGCGCGCTGTCGATACGCAAAAGTGTATACGCGCTGGTGGAAAGCATAATGTATGATACCTCGCGACCCAATCCTACCAAAGTACTTGATTTTTAACACAAAACTACGCAGGACCTCGACGAGTGAGTTTGGTGACAGCTCTACCTTAGACGCTATCAAAATTTTAAATACATGCTAATCGGATATTAGTGTCGGCAAAGACAGTTATCACCACGTAGGCGCATATCCTTTGCCTTCTATCCTATCTGTCTTCCTGGGCTGACTCAAACCGCAGACTTTCTTTGAGATGTTGGGCAACTGGTCGTTTGGCGATTATTTCAAGAAGGAGGCGATAGAATGGTCATGGGAACTCCTCACCAAGGTTTATGGGCTCGATCCCGCGAGACTCTACGTCACCTACTTCGAAGGCAACCCCGCCATGAACCTCGAGCCCGACTTAGAAGCCAAGGAATTGTGGAGATCTGTTGGCGTCCCCGAGGATCACATCCTACCTGGCAACATGAAGGACAACTTCTGGGAGATGGGCGACCAAGGTCCCTGCGGTCCTTGCAGCGAGGTTCACTACGACAAGGTTGGGGGCCGCAATGCTGCAAACCTAGTCAACCAAGATGATCCCTTAGTCGTGGAAATTTGGAACAACGTCTTTATCCAATTCGACCGTCAGAAGGATGGCTCACTCAAGTCCTTACCTGCGAAACATGTCGACACGGGAATGGGTTTCGAGCGATTAGTATCTGCACTTCAGGACAAGAGCTCGAATTACGCAACCGATATCTTCGCTCCATTGTTCAACAAGATTCAGGAGGTCACAGGAGCGCGACCGTACGCTGACAAGTATGGCAAAGATGATACAGACGGCATCGATACTGCTTATCGTGTAGTCGCTGACCATATTCGATTGCTCACATTCGCTATATCAGATGGCGCGGTGCCTAACAACGAGGGTAGAGGCTACGTCGTTCGTCGTGTGTTACGAAGAGGATCGCGCTATGCTCGAAAGTATTTCAATGCCGAAATTGGCTCGTTCTTCTCTAAGATCCTCCCCGCGCTCGTCGACCAGATGGGCGAACAATTCCCAGAAATTGTCAAGAAGCAGCAGGATATCAAGGAGATACTAGACGAAGAAGAGGAAGCCTTTGCTAGAACGCTAGACCGCGGGGAGAAGCAGTTCGAGAAGTATGCTGCCCAGGCAGTTACCAGCGGGACGAAGAAGCTCTCTGGAGCGGACGTTTGGAGATTATATGACACTTTCGGTTTCCCGGAAGATCTAACCAAACTCATGGCTGAGGAGCGGGGCCTTGAAACAGACGAAAACGAGATTGCTATTGCCAGAGAAAAGGCCCGAGAAGCCAGCAAGGCTGTAAAAGAAGCAGTGCAGACATTTGCCAAGTTGAATGTCCATCAGATCGCCGAGTTGAAGGACAAGTTACAAGTGCCCGTTCCGGATGATGAACCTAAATTTACTAAGGGCGACACAACTGGCAAGGTGCAGCTCATTTACACAGGTACCGATTTCGTCAAGTCGACCAAGGACCTTCCACCGAATACACCCTTCGGTCTTCTACTTGATAGGACGAATTTCTACGCTGAGCAAGGTGGTCAGGTCGCCGACACCGGAAAGATCATTATCGACGATGTTGCCGAATTTGAAGTTCACGATGTCCAACAATTCGGAGGATATATAGTTCATAACGGATTCTTAAAATATGGAGAGCTCAATGCTGGAGATGAAGTTATCTGCGAATACGACGAGCTTAGGAGACAACCAATTCGTAATAACCACACTGGTACTCATATTCTCAACCACTCTCTACGAGAGGTACTAGGCGAAGAGGTCAACCAGAAAGGCTCGCTAGTCGACCAAGATAAGCTTCGTTTCGACTTCTCACACAAGGCGGCAGTTACCCTTCCCGAACTCAAGAAAATCGAACATCTGTCAAATGAGTATATCCGACAGAACTGCAAAATTTACTCTAAGGATGTTGAACTTGATTTGGCAAGGAAGATCAACGGCGTTCGCGCCGTTTTCGGCGAGACCTACCCAAATCCCGTCCGAGTAGTATCGGTTGGTATCGATGTCGACATGTTACTTGAGGCACCGGAGAATCCCGAGTGGCGAAAGGTCAGTGTTGAATTCTGCGGTGGCACGCACGTCGACCAGACTGGTATCATGAAGGATCTAGTTATCGTGGAAGAGAGCGGTATCGCGAAGGGTATCCGCCGTATCGTAGCATATACGGGCGATGCCGCGCATCGCGTGCAACGTGAGGCCGAGGAGTTTTCTAAGCGCATCTCGGCTATCGACGCTTTACCTTTTGGCCCCGAAAAGGAGGCCGAAGTTAAGCAGGCCACGGTAGACCTGAACAACCTTGTCGTATCTACCCTGACTAAGGAAGATCTGAAGGTACGGTTTGCGAAGGTGGTCAAGGCTGTCGTGGACGAACAGAAGAAGCGACAGAAGGCTGAAAGCAAGACAGCCCTCGATACGGTATCGGCCCATTTCGCTAAGGATGAAAATAAAGAGGCTAAATACTTTGTTGGGCACCTACCCATCTCCGCCAATGCCAAGGCTGTTGCCGACGTTGTGAACCACTTCAAGAGCAAGGACAAGGACCGGTCTGTTTACATTTTTGGTGGCAGCAAGACTGAGGGAGCCGTCGTACATGGTGTATATGTTGGTACAGTAAGTTGAACCCCCCCCCCAGAGGGTCATATCTAAAGAATATTACTGACAAATATATCTAGCACCTTGCTTCGCAGGGTGTAACTGCTGAGAAGTGGGCGGCAGCTGTCACTGAGGTGGTCGGCGGCAAATCAGGTGGCAAGGAGCCGACGCGACAAGGCCAGGGGACAAATGCGGATAAGATCGAGGATGCGATCGCTGTCGCAGAGAAGTGGCTCGCAGAGAAGCTGAAGATCTGAAGCATTTCATGGGTTATCTTATCTCCTACGCATCGAGCCAGAGGGAATGTGGCACGGATAAGTCCTACGTTACTCAAGAAGCGAAACCGAGGCGCCATAGACAGGACAAGCCCTACAGCTATGTAAAAGAAAAGAAAAAGACGGCTATAGAGAGCGTGATTTGGGGCCCAAGGATGGCTAACCGTAAGACTACGCAGAAAAAGAGCCGTAATTCTGATTTCGTGCTTTCTGCCTCATATATCTTGAGTGGTAACTAGGATAAGAGGAACATACAAGCTGTCATAAGCCTTCACACACATGTATAAACAGAGGAGACACTGTAGCTCAAAGCCGATATAAACCATTTGATAAAGGTGGCAACATATAATTCTACTCAGTTATAATGGTTGTGGTATTTAACGGAGTCATGCCATGGGGTGATATGGCTTATTCGCATCCAGTATGTCTGCTCTACTCTCCTACTCACCACGCCGTAATCACCCCCCTCCCACGGTGTAATGATAATGGCATCAAAGGTATCAATCAACACAATATCTACGGCGGCATATTACACCGTAACCATAACACTAGCATTCCGATACCAGCTCAAGAGCGGATTCTCGCCGCTCTGGGTCGTCGTATCCTCTACGAACGCCCACGACCGCATGAAGGCCTCATGGCCCATGACCCGCGAAAGCTTCCCCGTCAGCGCGCGATACATGGCCTCCATGACGTGGAAATCGGTGGGGAACAGGATGTCGAAGTACCCCTGGTGCACGAGGGGCGTCGACACGGGGACCGTGCGCCGTTGATACCGCGTCTGGACCACGGGCGCGTTGAGCCCGCGCACCGCGTCAGGTAACGTGTGGAAATCGCTCGTGACGAGCCTGTGGGCGGGGAACGCGCGCTCGAGGATGTCGAAGAACTGCATGAGGCGCGTGGGGATGTACTCGGGGTCGCTGAGGTTGGGCGCGAGCGGCAATTGCGTCTTGAACCAGCGGGCGGCCCGGTTCGTGGGGTACGGGACGCGATACAGGCCGGCGGTGGCGGCGTGTCGCACGCGCAGGAAGCGCGCCGCGACGGGGTCCAGCACGGGCTCGTAGAACTCGTAGAAGTCCCCGTTGCCGTCGATCAGCACGGTGCCTTGGAGAGGCTCTTCGGTCTGCATGTCGTAGCGCAGGACGTCGTGGGCGAAGTTGTCGAAGACCTCCATGGCTAAGAAGAAGCAGGGGGAGGGCACCCGGGCGTCCCAATCAAAAATGGACTTATTGATGATTTCGACTTTGTTCGCGTGCCCCCTAGATGCAGCTGTAGCGAGAAGTTGGGAGTTTTGGAGGGCGGCCAGAGAGGAAGAAATTTCGATAATCTTGTACTTTGTGCGGTCGTAGACGGTAGGCTCAATATCTCGGATGTAGTCGAGGATGTTGAGCATGAGAGTGCCGCGACCGGCACCCATCTCGTATATAATGAGGTCGTGATAGGGATACGTCGTCATCAGGTAATTTGACAGGAGGTAACGGGCGATAGCTTCGCCGTAGTAAGGGCGGAACAGCTCGGTTGGAGTATGCCAGAGCTGTCGAGTGTCGTCGGGGCGGCCCTCAGTTTTGTCCAGAGCGTCTTCGAACTCGATGTACCGCCGTCCGAGCTCTTCGTGGAAGGCAGGCTCGTCGTGTAGCGAATTAAATTCGAAAGGCTCACCGGGACTAAAGATGACGACCTGCTTTGAAAAGTAGCCATAATGGGGGTTGTATAAGCTATCTTCGATGAAGTCGCGCATAAGCATCTTAACTTTCTGTGGACGCTCCCTTCGTGATCTCAGGTCGTTTGCTGTCACGGTAGGATACGTCTTATACTCCTCCGACATGTCCTCAGGAAACAACTCTGTCCTTTGCTGCCAATGGCTCTCCTTCTCGGGTAGCCCTTGCTTCGCCCCTCTGGTGATATTCCGGGTGGCCATATGCCGCCTCTGCTGGTGTTCGCAGCGCTTTATTCTCCGGCCATGGTGGAGGCAAGACGACAATGCAGCAAGGTTCCTCCTCGATGGGCAAGCCGGGTGTCGGAACAACTGGCGGAAGAGCTGGGCGACAATAGGGGAGTCCATAGTTTGGACTTGTCTTGAGGGTTGAGAGAGAGAGAGGGGGGAAACGGGGGGGTGTTTAAGGATAAGGATTTAGTTTAGCGTCTCGCCGAAGCTTTTTCGGAGGGTTGAAAGTGGGTTCCACTTTTTAACCTATCCCGTACCCGGCGTACCGAAGTATGGACGAAGTAGGTACCTTGCACACTTAAAAAAAGATTAAAAAAGAAAAAAGAAAAAACATTGTACGTACTACATTGTATATCGTACCTACCTAGGCACCTAAGGTTCCTGAAATGGCGTCACTGACGTATTTTTAGCTCTTCTCTCAGACCCTTTTTTTTTAACTGCTTAGCAAGTTAACAAATCACTCGATCAAATTAAATATACCTAACCAATTACCAATTTTGTGTAGCATCAGCTTCTTTTGCTTTCATTTCTTCGTCTCTAAAAATAAAAATAAAATGGAATTATTACCATAGACACAAGGATTACAGTGGGTTGATATAGTTAGGTATTAAACGTGGGGAACCAATTATATAGAGAAGAGGAACAAAAGGGAAGGGAAGAAAAGAAAAGGAAAGGAAAATGTCTTTGAGCGACCATCCTAAAGCATATGGCACAGCAGCTGTAGCAGTTGCTTTTACTGCCGGAATCTTCGTAACTCTCGGTTTCAAAGACCTATACCCGGACTTAGAGCGGCGATTCCAACAGCGTGGGCCGCGGAGAATTCAACGGAGCGTTCCAGATAACCGGCGATCCAGTTTATTCTGGGGAGGTCCAGTTGAGCTTAAAGACACTGAAGTACCTGAAGCTCTGGTCCCCCGCGACGACGGCGTCAGCGATGGAATCGAAGGATGCATCGGGCGAACCCCGCTGATTCGGATCCACAGCCTTTCCGAGGCCACGGGCCGTACTATCCTGGCGAAAGCAGAGTTCCTTAATGGCGCCGGGAACAGCCCCAAGGATAGGGTTGCGCTTAATATGATCCAGGTCGCCGAAGAGGAAGGATTTCTGAAGCCCGGTCGTGGGGATACTATTTACGAGGGCACCGTCGGCAGTACGGGCATATCGATTGCCGCCTTGGCTCGTGCTAAGGGGTATCGCGCTCATATCTGCATGCCTGACGACCAGGCCCGTGAGAAATCCGACTTACTACATCACCTGGGCGCGACTGTGGAGCGGGTTCCGGTACAGCCTATCACATCCCCCGAGCATTTCGTGAACCTAGCACGACGTCGGGCAATAGAACACACGCGCTCAAAGGCAGACTCTAGCGTCGGATTCTTCGCAGACCAATTCGAATCTCAGTCCAACTGGCAAGCACACTTCAAGACCACCGGCCCAGAGATCTACGCACAGACACACGGACAAATCGACGCCTGGGTAGCAGGCGCCGGGACGGGAGGTACCATTTCAGGGGTAGCCAAGTACCTAAAAGAGGAAGCAAAGCTGAAGAACCTAAAGGTAGTATTAGCAGATCCACAGGGCAGTGGGCTATACAACAAGGTCCGACACGGTGTCATGTACTCGTCCACGGAGAAGGAGGGCACGAGGCGGCGGCAGCAAGTCGATACGATTGTAGAAGGCGTAGGGATTAACCGAATTACGGAGAATTTCGAAGCCGGGCGGGACTTGATCGACACGGCAGTACGAGTTACAGACGAGCAAGCGTGCAAGATGGCGCGGTGGCTAGTTGAAAACGACGGCATTTTTTGCGGTAGCAGCAGTGCCGTAAATTGCGTTGCTGCCGTCGTCACAGCGCTCTCCCTTCCCGAAGGAAGCCAGGTTGTTACCGTGCTATGCGATTCCGGGACAAGACATCTGAGCAAATTCTGGAAGCAAATCGCGGAGATGGGCCTAGAAGACGAGCCCAAGGCGGATAATCTACTGACTCTACTGGGAATAGAAAACCTAAGGTGAGGGGAATGTTTATGTATGGTATTGGCCGATACGGACCTGGGTTGTTACAAAGTACAAGGGATTACTAGCTTCTTGTTGGGCGAATTCCCTATGCCATTAAGTTATGGTACACTGTGCTACCTCGCGTCTAAAGCCACTTGGTAGGGGAAACTAAATTAACGATGGCGCAAAGCCAGTCCACAATCTTAAAATCTCGGAATCGAGAATAGGGAAGTATTGACACCTTCCTGCCTGGTCAATAAGTAGGACCCTTAACTCCACGCAAACTCAAACGCAATCAATCTCAAAACAAAAACAACCTTGGTCATCGACCGAATCCGAGACGCCTGCCATGAGACGCCTGCCATGAGACACCTGCCACCCCATAAGATACCATATCTATGCTACAACTCGGCAAGACCAAACGAGGCAAAGACGGGGTAGATAGGCCAAGATCCGATGTAACGATTTAAGAGAACTATACAATATTAGTCAGTACGCATATCACGCGGAATAGTAGAAATAAAGATATAGACGTTCCAAACTTACCTTCCAGCGCTTTCCGCAGTTCATGCACTCGCAGAAGGTCGTCATCGGTTCATCAGCGCTGCGGGTCTGAGCCTGCGTGTAGCTGACCATCTTCTTCTTGCAGTTGCTGCACTCGAGACTGTCGCTGATACTCTTCTCAGCCATGGGCACCTGGGCCTTCTTCATGTTCTCTAGCTCGAGCTCGGCTTCAGCCTTGCGCTGCTCCGCAGACATGAGCTCCTTTGAGGTCATGACGACGAAGCGGTCAGGGGCGATGGCACCCGACATGACGTTGCGGCCCAAATCGGCATTGGTCTTGACCTTGAGGTTCTGGAACAGAGACCTTATCTTGTCCTTGTACTCCTTGGTCTCGCCGTTGTATGCCTTATAGGCAGCACGCTCGACCTCGATAGCGCGCATGATGACGTTCTCCTCAGACTCGCGCGAGCGATACGCAAGACCGTTGTAGAGAAGGCCGATGCAGTTGTCACGAACCTGGGAGCCGGTACGAGCGATGCTAACCTTGTCCGCCTTGAAGGTCCGCTTCTCTAGGTCACCCTCGTAAGTCTTGTTTCCTGACAGCTGTCTCGGGGCAGGCGAAGCAGCCTTGGACGCGGGAGATACGGAACCCTTTGGTACTTTGGAGGTTGGATTGCCCTTGGATTTCTTCTCCACTTCAATGCCTTTCTTCCATTTCGCAACCACTTCAGTTGCAACCTTGGCGACGTCTTTGTTCGCAGTTCCTCGGAGTTTTCCTATCATGATACCGGCTTTGGTGGTCTGGTAGACGTTAGCAACGGCGCAAGCAGACAAGATAAAACAATTAGTAAATGATATTGGGGAGGGGAGTGAGGGGTAAATCTGGATAAATAGTAGCAAATACCATGACTTACGCGAAGCATCTCTTCAGTCGGCGCAGCAGATCGGAGAGATTCGAGGACGCTAATGATAGCGGAAGGGGGCTCATTGGACTGAGCGGCCTTTTGAAGGGCCTTGACGCGCGCTTCAAATTCTCGGTGATCCATGATGGGCAGTTGTCAATTTTAGTTGTGTCGGGTAAAATTGTAGGAAATGCGTAAGAATCGGCGGTGATGATGAAATTGTTCGTAGTTAAATTCGAAACCGGCGACGGGGTGGGGGAAAAGGTTGATAGGTATAAGGTGCAGGTGCAGCCAATGCGGTTTAAGTAGGAACGTAATTGTTGGAACAGGTAGGCACGGTAGGTACGTTCGGTGAGTTGGCTCAACTTCCACCAAGTGTTTGGAAGTTTGTGTGAGTGACCTAAAAAGGTCAAACTAACAAGGCGCCGGAAAAGAGAATGGAAAAAATGGCAAGAATGAAGCTTCCTCAAAAACCGTTCACGGTTTCTCCTTGGGCAGCCGCGACCACCTGCACTGACAGACTGATAGAGCCAACGCACGGGCCTTGATAGTAGATTCTGCCGGTGCTTAGCCGGACCAATCGTAAATTTTATCGTTATCGATAATCTAGATTTGCATTAGGCAGATGAATTGACTGTCTTCTCCCTTTCTTCGCAAATCTCAACGTCAGGATTACTCTAAATTACTCTAACTTAAATAAAACAAAAAAAAAAGAATAAAAAGAAATACCAGGTACATAAGTACTGTATAAAGCAGCATTATTATATCTCATTATGTCGAACGTATAAACACGCATATCTTTATGTTGACATGTCCATTTACAGAAGTTCATTTCTTTCAGCACCTCAATAGATAGGTACCTACCTAATGTGACCAAGAGCCTGTAGAGGGAAACAATCTCGTTGTTCCCGTAAATAATTAACAATTTGCTCAATGGATTAAAGAAAATCCTGTTAGAATATATTGATTTTAGGATAAACCTTCTAACAAAATGAGATAGTGTCACATGATGACATCTATATATATTTCCACCATCAGTGGACCTTATGCAAGTAGTAACCTTTACATCTATAACGTCAATAAAGATACCATTTCCTCCACGACAGATAGGTAATACCTAGCACTAATTTAGGTTGACCCCTGACAACATGTTGCTCAATAGAGATAGTAACAATTTGAAGCTACTTATAAAAATATACATCTATTAGGTTACATATGGATTTAGGTAGCTAGTCCATTTGTTAAGGCATTAGTCAAATATACTATCGAGTGCTAGTAAATATCTCTAGTAATTCATTACATATCCCTAGGTACCTAAGGTAAAAGTATGACTATGGTTACACGAAATGCGGTCTCAGGGGTATGAGGCTATATAGGGGTATACTTACTACTTATATAAAGCACTTATATAAACATACCTAGCACCCTCGTAAGAGGATATGTGGATATAACAAAGATATACTAGTAGATATATCAACAGTAATCAGCCACCTGGTAAGATAAAAGGCCCTGCCACTCACTCCCGATATAACATCTATCAAGGGTATAAGCCTCTTGATAATATAACATCGGCCGATAGTATCAAACTTCATCTTTACATACCAGTGCCTAATCGGAACATCGAACACCTCGTTGATTCTTTACAGCAGAAATGAAACGAAGACTTATACAAAATATAGAGAAACTGGAGCTTTCATTGATATTTACTCCCCTAAATGTACCTAATGCCATAACCGTCGAATCTACCAAAAGCAAACCCTCATGATTCGTTCTCGTAAACAGCGTATCGAAATGATAATGCTAGCTTTGGGTATATCCCACCAGAAACCCCCCCAAATCAACCCCCAAATCATTTTGCTCTCCTGGAAATCGATCTTTATCATCCAGCTCATTCATCTCATGTGGCGAACCCAAGGAATCCAAACCTGGATTTCCCAAACATGCTACAGCCCTCAGCCGAGTATATCAGGATACTGAGACGCGGCAAAGCTGTCGTCCGCAAAGCTTATATCGCCGCTGTCTGACTGGTAGTCGGGGTCACGACCAAATCTGTTCAGATAGTCCTGGACTATGTCAAAATCGTCAGGCAGTTGTGGCTCTTTGGCCGGCTGGGCAGCGGAATGCTGGACGGTTGCAGTCGAAGTGACAGGGCCGGCATTCTGATGAAGAAGACTTGGATCAACCTGAAACTCATTTCCAGACATAAGTCTAGGGCCTGCTACTGCAGTCTCACCCATCGAACTATGGTTTTGGTTCTGGCTCGGTCCGGCTTCGTTGGCGAAATAGTCGTTGATAATATTGTCAAGGTATTTGTCCCAAGTAGGCTCCCGTCCTGCGGCTGCTCTAGCCGATGCGCTAACGTCTTTGGTACTGCTCACCAAAGCATCGCTCCCTTTTCCTTTTGCCGAACCCATACGCTTCTTCGAAGCTGGCTCGCCCCCCACCGGTTTAGGACCTTGTGCCTCTTCGTATCCCATATCTCCTATTCGCATATTGACGATCTCCTCGTTGGGTCGAGATCGCTTGAGAGAGCCACTACGTATAATTGCTCCTGGTGCTGGCGACATAGAGTTCGGTCTTGCCAACGGCATGAGCTCCTTAGTCTTACCGGACACCGGTACCAGCTGTCCTGGAGTGAGCTGAGTAGTCTGGCGTGTAACTCCTCCATTGTATACTCGGCTAAGAGACTGGCGTCTGTGTGTTGTGGCCATCTGGTTCTGGCTCACTTGCCCGAGAACCGACTGGGTGGCCATCCCCGTATTTACAGGTGCGGTTCTGTTCTGTCCTGTAAATATATACGGCTGGGACACACCAGTAGGCTGTCTCTGTGGCATGCCTGGGTTCTGGCGCCCCTGTGCCGTTGTACCTGGCGTGGAACTGAAATTCTCCAAGGCTGTGGGATTATAGCCGCCTACTCCCGGTCTCACTTGCGACGACGTGGCTGTTTCTTGTCTAGCGATATTCATAGGCCGGATACCCTTTGCTGTCGTATCATCAGGGACATTGTACATCGCCGTATTGCTTCGCCGATTTCCCTCAGGAACGCCAGCCCGCGGAGGTACCATTGGGGTATTTTGTAGGTATTGGGCTTTCTGCTCAGGGAATTGGCTAAGCTGTGATGGCCGAGGGCGGGTACTTGGTGTAGGGAGGACACAGAGGCCGGTGCTAGGTGTTAAATAGAAGTTATCTGATGATTCCAAAGTCTGGTATAGTTGTTTTCCCACAGACACGTTGTTTAGGTCTGGGTACGGGGTCACGGGGGTCGCCGTGTTTCCTGGCGAGGTACTGGTTGAATCAACCGGCTCTTCAGAGACTTCTACGAATCCCTTTCCATCACAATGGTGACAGACGCTCACTTTATTTTTTTTGCCTTCTGTAGCAATTTGGCTCGGCTTAGGAATATTGTTAGCGCGGTTGGAGGCGCCGTCTTTCGCGGAGTCATGGTATATGATATTTCCTTTAGGGTTACTGTAGCCTAAGTTAGTTATCTTGTTTATTTCAATTTTGTGTGTATACGCGTCATTCATAACTTACCCGAATTCCGCACTGTTACCGAAATGATCAGTAATGTACTTGATCTGAGAATACCCGACCGGTTTCTCGAGATTAGGGAACATCTGATTAAAGAGTTCGGCCGTCTCATGGTAGATAGCCCTCTTCTTTCCTCGTGGAATTGGGTCGATCGGGACAGTCCTATCAAGGACGAACCTGATCATTTCGTTCGAATATCTGTAGCTCGTCATGGTGCCTACAAGATACCCTGGGACTTGTGTTAACTATAAGATGAACCTATAGTGGATTTTATTGTGGGAAGGGATGTTCGGTTGAGATGATGGACTTACCTTGATTGGTTGGTTGATTTGTTGACGTGTTGTTTTGTAAATAATCCGAACGACAGGAAGCCAGAGGCAGCACTCCGATGTTTTGGAAGACTTGCCCGCGAAGTGACTTCAGTTTGGTACTTGCCGGTCTGTGGTCTATGGTCTGTGGCGAAGAAAAGGCGAATAAAAAGGGAAAGTTCCTCGATTTCCACTTGTTTAAATAATAATGACTGGCGTTCTCCAGGCAGAGAGGTTGATAAAGTTTGAGGGCGCCCGCTAATTTTCGAGCGCGTAAATTGAATTGTTGTGTTGTGTTGTGTTGTGTTGTGTTTTTTTTCTGACTGAATATGAGTAAACAAATGTTACTAGTGAAAAAATATAACTACCAAGGTTGAATTAAGAATTTTGCAATTCTGGAAGTAATGGTTGCTAGGCACCCAGATGATGGGAAGTGTCGTGTGCTGACTTGTTGATGCAAATTTTTTTGTGAATATACAGAGGGTGTATAAATAACAGCTAGATTTTCCTTTCCGAATGTGAGTACGGAAGTTAAATCGGCGCGAGAAGTTCGTCGCCGCCTTCGTTGCCGCTTTCGTTACGGCCAAAATATTTGTAAATTGAGCGTAGGAGTGCCTTTCTGCCAAGCGGTCAAGCAGTTGAGCTACACACATATTGAAGAGCATTGATAACACTGCTATGGTGTAAACCCCCAGAACAGAGCGTAAATAATATATATAAATGATATCTGAATACACCGCATATTCTATTGCTCTCTAGTTGTCGAATGCCTCTAGTAGACACGGCACTGCAAATTTGCCAAATTAAAAAAAAATCGAGCCTGGAAATGGTGGCTTAATCGATATTCCTACGCAGGGCTGTTTAGAGTTATACCTCGTGTGATGTTCGTATACCTGTTGGAAGAACTAGGTAAACTAATACAAGGTAGTCACTCAGGGGAAGGGGCAAGCGTATTACGAAACCGCATGAGTGAATATAACAAAAATCGCTATAAGCTAGGAGTTTATTTGTACTGTTGATACAAAGGACGTATAGATTCAGAAATTCATATAGTAACTAGTTTACACTAGCATTGTTATGATATGCGAAACTCTAAGGCTTTATATCACCTCCAGCTACCATATATACTTCCCCTCTACATATGTATATCGTTTATCGAGGCTCTGAATAGGCACATGAGGTAACACGAATATACAATAGGGGACGCGTGGTGAATCGATAGGTAAATCTATCAACGACTATTCGTACCAATATCCAAAATACATTCCATAAAACATAAGGGTTATCTATTACGATACATGCTGTATTTCCTGATACTAATAATTGTCATAACACGAAGTGAATGGACGTTAGTCGTGTCATCCGTTGTGTTTGAATTTACCTATGGGCAAGGGGTTAGTAGATGAAGATGGAAAGAGGAACACCAGCGTCCAACAGATATCTACCTGGTACCTAAGGTACGCAATAGGAAACAGGTAGAAATGAAAGATAGTACTAGTTCGTGAACATGTCGACATATATAACCTGATAACCCAGGTACTAATATACATACCTACCTAGCATCACTCCCCCCTTTCCACCGGGGCGATTTCCAAACAGTTATAGCCTCGAGAGCTCACTCAGAATAGAATGGATCCTCATACTCAGCGCGAATTATTTTATTCAGGTCATTCCCAGCAGAGAGTTCTGGAGGGAAAGTGACAGACTTTTCGAGTATGGTTATGTTGGTATCACATCACCGTAGATTACTTGATGCCAATAAGTTGATTCTCAGGATACACAGGTACTTAGCTAAGGTATCTAACCCCAGGTTAATTTAAGCTTTTATAATTGGACAACTTACCAATGGTAACTTGCCATTGGTAATTTGGTATCCGAAATGGAGGAAACGGCAAGCGACGTGCATACGCCGAGAGAGATATCGCGGGGAAGTGGAGAAGTAGGTTAGTTAGGTACGTTACTATGTAGGTAGCCGTTAGAGAAAGTGGAGACACAGTGCGATAAGACAGGGTTTATCTGCTATCGCTATTATCTTTCCCCCTTTCTTCGGCAGCACGCGGTAAGTGGAATAACATCAATGTAGCATTGCTCCCGACTTTGCAACTCCTCTCGAGAGACCGCGGTAGTCTAGATGTAGAACAAGAGGCCCTCCTCTATTTTGCTGTAACTTACTTCGTATCGCATGATATCCAAGCGGAAACTGGGGGTACGCTCATGGAAGTTCAAGTAAAAGTAAAATAGTATCCTTACCTTGAAATCGCCCTGGTTTTCGTGCCTACCTAATCCATTACCGTAGTAAACGCGTATTATCGATGGGGTAACATATCGGGAGAGGAGATCGCTTGATAATCGCGAAGTAACTGATCGATATCCCCTAAAGTTACAACCATACATATTCCAGTTATTGTCCAATAGTCTTAGATATAGCTAAGATGACCGTTGGATCGATCACTGCGGCAGTCCAACCCTACCAAAAGCGTCAGATTCGCAATCGGCCAGTCGAGTCATGCCTCTTTCCGACTTATAGCTAAATCCTTTCTTAGATCGAGGCGGCACGTTTACAGATGTCTTCGCCGCAGTACCGGGACGGAAAGACATAGTACTTGAGCTATTATCTGTTGACCCTAGTAGTTGCGATGATGCGCCAGCAGAAGGTATCCGTCTGGTCCCCGAGACTGTCTCGGGCAAGTCAATTCCTAGAGGGGTACCAATTCCTAAGGATTTAATCCACTCCATTCGAATTGGTATAACAGTAGCTAAAAATGGCGAGTCACTAGATCACTTTCTACAGAGTCAAGATACATATTTGCCATAACGCTATTGGAGCGGAAAGGAACAAGGATGAATATCCTCGGGTCCTTGACGCAAATCTGTTCCTTGGGCTACTAATACCCGACTACTTCCCTAAGATATTCGGGCCTACTGAGAACCTCCCAACTCAATATCGATATTGTGGTGCAGAAGCTTGAGGAGCTCACAGTACAGATCAACGCGGACACTAGACGTTCGATGACCTCTCTCGAGGTTGCTCACGGCTTTATCGATGTAGCAAATGAGTCCATGAGCCGCCACATTCGGGCGCTCACAGAGGCAAAAGGTTTCGAAACCCAGCAACACGCGCTTGCGACCTTTGGCGGTGCTGGAGTTCAACATGCTTGCGAAATTGCAAAGAAGCTGGGTATCAAAAGGATAGTGATCCACAAATACTCCAGTATTCTCTCAGCGTACGGTATGGCGCTGGCGGAAGTTATTCAGGAGACTCAGGAGCCGAGCTCTGAGATTCTATCCGAAGAGTTCCTTAGCCAGCTGACGGCCAGGATGCAGGGCCTTAAAACAAAGGCCACCGAAGGGCTCCTCGCCCAATGAATTCAAGAAGCGGCTATTGAACATGAGCTATACCTAAACTTAAGGTATCAAGGCACAAATACCAATTTCATGATCTTGGCCCCTGTTGATGGGGACTGGAGATCTGCACTCGAAAAGGAGCATCTAAGAGAATTATCGTTCGTCTTCCCAGAGATAAGAAGGTTCATGTAGACGATGTACGGGTACGTGGTGTCGGCAAGGGCATCGAAGTCAGTCACGATAACTCAAAGCTCATGAAGGAATTGAAGTCCAACTTTTCAGAAATCAAGGAGGGCAAATATCCCAATTCTAGCGGCTCAAGACGTCTACCTGACAACTTGTAAGTATCCTCACACGTGTTTAACGTATGCGGGCTTCGTGTTACTGACGTAGATCTTATTCTGCTTCTGATATGTCGGTCATATTGACAAAAGGTTAATACTGCTGTAGGTCGGATCTCAAGGCACAGGTCGCCGCCAACAACAAGGGAAGTAATCTCATCAAAGCCCTCATGGAAGAATGTGGCAAACACACCGTCCACTTTTATAAGTCCAAGATACAAGAGAATGTCGAAGTCTCCGTCCGCAACTATCTGAAGTTCGCCTACAAACGATACAGGCACGTCCTGTGAGATGTTATCGAACATGAACGCGCCGCCGGCCATTACCTATTCAGCACCGATCTACACGCTACGACCCCTGATCGGTTAGGATATCCTGCTGAACCAGGGATGTTTCACACCCACCAAAGTCATCCTTCCCAAAAACTGCTTCCTGAACCCCTCGTCCGGGCCAGCCGTCTGCTGCGGAAACACGCTTACGTCGCAACGTCTCGTCGACCCCTTGCCGAACACGTTCCGCGCGGCGTCCGGGTCGCAGGGCTGCATGAACTACTTCGGCTTCTTCGGGAACTGCCGCGACGACCCGGGCAAGCCGCAGTCCGAGTTTGTGTTCAGCTGCCGGAAGCTTTCACACATTTGCAGCAGCTTAAGAGGCTTCATCTTGAATTTTGAATGATTCATGATCGGAGGAAGTCAATATGTACCTAGGTATATTGTGTATCCATCTCATTTATATTCTCATAGATAGCATTAGATATACATAATAAGGAGTTGCCATATTTTAGTATCTTCGTATCTCCACCCCTTGCATCGATGTCTCACGAGAACGCCGGAGTAACATTTCTACCATTCTTGCTATCCCTGTATATCAGTCTAACAAGCGTCTATCAATCTATAATTCTATGTCTAAAAGGCTCAGCCCAAGGCAAGGTGGGAATGGAAATAATCGCTAACTATTGTCTCCCGAAAACAGCCCACCAACACTCTATTCCCGAGTCTTCACCATCCTCGTCCCAGTCGTCTTGGCCAACTAAGGTGTTTTGCTCCAGCACGCTTAACCCGGAGACAATCGTAGTAGATAAGAACTTGGCAGTCAATTTCTTGGTGGCCAAGTCTCTTTGTGGAACCATCACGATAGCCCTAGCATTTTCGTCTTTAGCAAGATGCGCAATTATTGCAGAGGCCAGAAGCTCTGGGTGGTCGTCGTCGTAGAGGGGATCTGCAGCGAGAACAATCTACATGGGGTTAGTCGCGATGGACGCTTTGAAGGCAGTATATAGGTTAGGTAGGTAGGTACTTGCTTTGAATTGGTTCTTGGTGTCAAATTGCTCTGCATTTCCGTCGTCAGAGCCCCATACTAAAATCGCCGAATCAACATTCCCCCCTAGAGCCTCGACGGTGGATCGATTTCTCTCAATGTTATGGGCAAGGTTTGGCAGAATAGCCGGGAGATCGGTCAAAACTACATTAGATTTCCAGATAGCAGCGGCAGCTATCCCCAAGAGTCCTGTACCTGAGCCTAATTCGAGAACATGCAGGGATTCCTTCGATTGTCCCAAGCTGAATATATGGGAGAGGGATTCTTTTGCAATGCGGCCTAGAGACTGCGCAAGCAGATACGAAGACCCCCAGGTTTTCAAGCCAAGCGAGTCACCTGTGATAGGAGGCTCGCGAATGACCAGCTCAAAAGGAGACGATGCTTGGCTTTCAAGCGGCCACCTGCGCGTGATCTCACCCATTCCTGCCCTGCCGCAGCGTTCGGCAAGGCGTCGACTTGCCTCATCCCACACCGCTTCCTTTTCGTCTTCGTCCTGAATCCACGCAAGACTACTCTTGATTATGCTGGACAGATACGCAGCAATCTCGCGACGGAGCTGGGCCGCATTTTGGTAGGTCTCCAATATGAGTTTGCGAGAAGTGCCGGGATTCCAGATCGGAGGTTCAACCTAGTTCAGAGTGAGCCCTCGTCGGTATTGTCAGACATTGCCACTTTATCAATTTTACCTGAAGCTGCTTGAGAGCCGCGAGAAGTTCCTCGGATGAGGGTTTCTGCCAGGTCTGGGGAAAGTCAGCTACGCAGATAGACATTGCGTTCTATTAATCGCAGCTGGTATCGTCTATAAAAATTCTAAAGAACACAAGATAAGGAGAGAAGAATTGGGCAGAGTGGAATAAAATGAAATGAAATGAAATAAAAATCTAAGGAAATGACTCGTTTCTGTCACCTGAAGAAAGACATTATGATAACACTAGTTATATATGTAGTATAGAGATTGTCAGTTGGCATGGTCTATAAGATTTCTATGGTGTTAGAGGAAGTATGTAATTGAAGGATGGACAAAATTTGGACGGTATCCCAGTTAATGACTTATAATGGATGAGTCTAGCCAGGAACGCCTACGATAACATGACTACTAATTATGGAGGCCAGCTAGGTAGGGAACAAACGGGGCTTTTCTAATATCAGCCAATGAGGTTTTTAACATAAGGCGAAAGCTGGGAAAGTAGGTACCGAACCAATGTATAATCCGCAGTTGCTACCTTCCCGGAGGCCGGATTACCTAAGGGTTAAAATTGTACGATTTTGATTGGCTTATCTGGTAGTTTTATCGATAAGCCCACCATAATTTTGCTATGACTCGAAAAAGCAACGGCCTAAATTCATTCTCGTCTCTTTTTTTTTTTTTTTTTTTTTTTTTTTTTCCCTTTCTTCAAGCATCGCCCTCACCAACGCTGCGTTTCTGAGCTACATACGGAGAACGCCGCGCAAGCTGCCTCTCGTCGGTTCTGTCCTCTTCGGAGTTCAAAACCGACATTTTATCGCTCATGAGAAATTCGGAGTATTCTTCATCACCACCTCGTCGCCTGCCTAGCTGCGGGATTGACAGGTCTGCCCGCAAGGGTCTGGCGTGATGGTTTTACACGTCTGCAAGATTGGCATCAGAAACGCAGGGCCCTTCACCCCGTGCATATCCGCAAGGAGAAGACGGGGGAGTTGCGGTTCCTATGGGAGAGCCGTTGCGGAGATTGTGTGTGAGAACACTTGAGTGCGATACGCAGCGTAGGATTTGTCTGTTTCTCCTCTGGGGGTAGCAGGCGCCTACAATTCGATTCCGATTACTCTGGTGAGGGCGATGCTTCACTCTTTTTCTTTCAAGGTCAGTCTTGTACTAATCCCAATTTCTCATTCCCCTAGAGGTTGAGGATACTGCTAACGATACATACATGCATATAACTACCTCCTAACCTAGCGTATCATTTTCGAGAAATGGTAGCAGGAATACACTTGGAAAAGCCTTTCTGACATTCGTCCAAGTCTATCCTAAAATATCATTCAACTCTCATCATCTTTATCCTTTATATGTGCTGCATCTTGACCTGGTGAATCCTGCTCTTCAAATGCTGGTTCGGTTGCGACAGGATCCATGTCTTCGCCTCCTGATAAGTTTCTTCTAGTTTCCCTCTTGTCGAACCGATGTAAGATCTTGGCGTCTGGGCTTTGCGAATCTACCAGCTTCTCCAGATCCGATGCCTGCGTGACCAAATCTGCACAAGCGACATTACTTAACGTGGACTTCTCAGCTAGTAGTAGAACACGGTCTCCAGCTACCTGAACTTTCTCTAGGGCAATTTGCCGAGGATCGTGGTCAGAGGGGTTACTGAGCGGATGGGACTGCATGTACGCCTTTGCAGCCTCTTTGACCTGGTCCAAGCATGCTTCCAGCTTCATCTTCTGAATTTTAAATTGCTCGTCATCTTGGTCCTCGTCACTCTTGTACTTGCTGTTGTGCTCGATCCTCTTCTGCCATATCCGCTGAAGGACATCGTCGCTGACGTAATACTTGACCGCATTTACTTCCGCCTCGAACTCGTCCTGAAAAGTGACCCAAAACTTCTTGCTCTCGTTGATCTGGAATGCCAGCTGTCTGGCGGCGAGTGAAACTTTTAACTCTGCATTAACGTTTGTGCTGGTCCCTGCGTTAGGAGCAGCCGGTGCGGGAGTGACTGGACGATTCCTTCTTAAGGCTTTAGCTCCTGGCCTCGATAATGACTTCACCCGCGTTATGGGCTGATCAGCATTGGATTTTTCATGTTGGTCGTTGGTATCGTTACTGTGGTTGGCACACGGGTGAAGGTAATACGAAGGTCCGTCTGGGCTGTACGTCTCTGACTTTGAGGACTGTGAATAGGTAAATGGGAAAGATGTAGTGTCTATATGCACCCCTCCCCGTCGATTATGAGAGGATCGTTGTGACTCTCCATCATCGACGTCACTTCTAGGAGGTCTTGCCATTGTGTAATAGGGAGTGATACCGTTTGAGTTGTTGCGGAAAGTTGGTGAGAATGTATCCAATGAGGTTTCAAGGTGACACCCCGCCATTTTGTAGCTCAGAGATGCTGTTTCTACTCAGTTACTACTTACTTACTACACGTACGATATGATGTTTGTTTTCTTTTATATGTTTACCTACCTACCTAGGTACTTTAGGTAGTTATACACTGCATTTGCATCCATAGCAAGCTGTTTGGGAGCTTTTGTTGTTCACTTTCCTATCAATCTTGCTATGAGGTACCTAAGGTAATCGTTATTTGGCAATTCGGTTGGACGTATTTGCGTCAGTGAGGGGAATTGGCCAATACATACATGCATGGGTTAGAATCCCATAAGCCTGTAAAGTAAAAAATAATCCTATTCCTTGATTATTTGTTGTTGATTATCCGTGGGGAAATCCTGTCACATCTCTCAAGCCCCCTCTCCACAACCTAGGTATAATAGCATAGTCCTATTGATAGTCCTATTGGTGTTAGTGTTAGAGTTGCTTCAAAGGTTTCGAAAATAGCCCTGCCAAGCGCGGGATACGAGATGACAGTTTTGTATTGTACCGACACGTCAAAAGTGGGTAGGTACACAAAAGTAGTAAGTATAATACCTAGTATGTTATTTTTATGGATTTTTTTTTTTATGAAAGGGCTGGAGGGTGAGGTTAGGCTAGGTAGGTACTTGCCAGGTATGTACGAAGTACCTAATCTAGCACTTAGGATCCTCCCTCAAGTGGTCCAAGCGCCCGCGCGCTAGTCGCAACCCGACAGTCTGGCTCGGTGACCCCATACGCCATGGGTCCCGCCCGCACTAACCCCGTACCTAGGTATTTAAAGACGGATTTCAGCATTGAGCGGTTGAGGCGCTGACAGGCGCACCTGAAACGAAACGAGGTCGCCGCAGGACAAGGGCCCCGTCGATCCTGCTGCTTTTGGTGTTTGTCGTCGCACTTTGATAGGTCGGAGGCTCCGAGGCTGAGGCTGAGGCAGATGCTTGAGGCGTAAGGCACAGCCTAACGTTTAGGAGTACATACATACATCATAAGGTACATAGTAGACTTAATGTTACTTTCGTTGATAGGGCTGCATACATTAATTAGGTGTAAGCAACAACAACAAATGGTAGCCTAGTCGCGTGCTTGAGATTATAATTTGCAATGCAATGTATCTCCACCTAAGCTACATTTACCTGTTAGTTTTCGCGCAGTTCCACGCATATTATAGGTAAATTCGAACGGTAAGTACCTAGGTACTTAGTACCTTGGGTACATGTAGGTTAGGTTAGATACATGTACCTAAGGTTTGTAGCATACGGTACCGGACCGCTTATTTATAAGTCAACCTCCCCTCCCTCCCCTCTTACCGAAATCATTCACTTACTCACCAAAAGGACGCCTAACAAAGCATTGTTGGAACGGAGGTGCGCGGAACGGGTGCTACCCAAACCGGTTCGTGAGGAGCAAAGTTCTGGTGTCACGTCTACGATAGGTTGGTAATACCTAGCCAAGGTACGCTCGACCCTGGCGCTCGGGTTTGTGTCTGCCGTCTGTTTGGTCAGGATTGACAGGTACCCATGGAGGGGTAGAGAAGGGGGGAGGGGGTTGGAGTATATACGGAAAAAGGGTGTCTATAGGGATATTTGCTTGAAGTTTGGAATTTTAACCCGGTTGTGATAATTTCTAGACAGAAACAGCTGCCTGCATTTGATATGTGCGTATGCAGCCGCATGCCGTCTAGATGTTTGTACATACACACAGCATGGTCCTGCTTCATGCGCCTAATATTATCCCGTTGAGTCTAGATGCCTTTTAGAAAGTTCTTTGGTATAACAAACACAGAGTCTCTTGGCTTACTGCCCTTCATCATCCAACAGTACGCGTAAGCGGATCGATAGAACACTGATACAACACTGACATATATACCATGCGAAACGCATCACTTATACATACCTTACTCCGGGGGTTATACTTTGTACGCACCACGGGAATCCTCAGACCACCTACCCATTCGTCTACGCTTGGCTTTGGCCAAACACCACGATACGGGATTATCTATCCAAGGTTAGGTTATACAATGTACGACCAGAAGCATCCTATTGACTCTTTTTAAGATCGAATACCTGACGGTCTCCTTTTTCATACGTACAACAAACCGCGTCATCAGTGTAAACCTCATCTCGCAACCCCCCCTTTTCCACCCCGATTCTGTACTCATGCTCCTATGCAAGTATATACGTATTCAGCCCAGACGTTCGTCAGGCCCGTGCCAGCTATTATACCCTTACGTTAGGTAGACAAATCGCCAGCGCCCAAGTGCTACGCTGCCATCTACTGTACCTCCCCGTTCCCCTCCCGCTCTGTTCTCATCCGGGGGCGCACGCATCTTTCGAATAATTATCAAAATTCATTCCTGTATTTCTCATACTACATTACAGAGGTATTTCCACCTATCTGACAGCCAGCCTATTTGCTGCAACTGTTTTCCTTGTACCCCTGTCTGTATGCGCTGTTGTATGTAGCTCAATGCATCAAACTGCAAATTTCCTATACTCTCAAAAATCATGTCGTTTCGACCAAACGGTCATGCATCAAATAATCCACGCCGTTTTTTGGGTTGTCCGATGCCCTATTGTGCCGAATGCCGGTAACCAGTAAAATCCATATGCTGTCCGTCCTTAGGCCAATAGATGCCAGAACTTGGTATTAAGGAAAAAAAATCAACGTCATCCGAATGCAAAAGCCAAACTTCGCTCAAAATGTCAATGTCCATCCTGGGTAATAGTATGAAAAGGAAAAAAAAAAGCATCAGCATCAGATAACCACCACCTCTCCAAGCGCATGCATTCGTCGTAGTTAATAATAAGGCAGCCTCATTAGAAAATTCACTTTGCCACCTTTACTTTCCCCTTGTTCCACGCCCAATAAAATCTCCAAATTTGAGTCCGCATCCTGACTGGCTCACCCCACCCGATCAATATGCTGGCAATGGACAGAATTCGTAACACATTATTAGTATGACGCCACTGCCTGTGAGATCTCCGACTTCATAATGGAAAGTCGCTCCCGCATGTCTATCAGGTCCGCTAGCTTATCCTCCGGCGGCTCCTTAAGCGCCGCGATCTCGTAATGCAATGCCTCGTACCGCTCGTAAAATCTTGTAAACTTCTTCGCCTTGACCAGTACGTCGGGCGACACGCGCGGCTTCTTGTTCGGAGCGGCTTGCTGCGAGGAATACTGATCGGTATCCCGATCTTTGCGCTTCTTGTTCTGATTCGTACTTGTCGAGTTACCATTTGCCACCCCGTTAGCGGCACGCTCCCCGTTACGGACGGGTGGCTTGGTCTGGCGCGCAGGCGCCTGATGATCTTCGAGGTCGGAGGCATTCGTCGGCGGCGAGGAAGCAAGTGGCGATGACTTGGTCGGTGACGTATTCTTGCTTCTCATCGAGATATTGGAAGATGTTCCTCCCACGGCGGCGTTTCTCGAGCTCTGGCTCGCGTCTGAAGGGCGGTGCTTCAGGTTGGTGACATTGGACAATGGCTTAGGAGGCTCCTTTGGCTTGATTCGCTTGCTAAGCGGGGCCCCTGAGCTCGAGCTGCTATCATCGTCTTCACGGGGCCGTTTCTGCGAGGTCAAGCTGGTAGGTTTCACGGGAGCGCGGGGTGCTCGAACCACAGGCTTCGCTTTCGGTGGGGCAGGTTTCTCCTTGGGCTTCTCTACCACTTTCTCCACCGGTTTCTCCACTGGCTTCTCGATTCGTTTCTCAGCAGGCCTCTCAGCAGGTTTTTCGACAGGCTTCTCGGTAGATCTCTCCACGGGCTTCTCAGCAGGCTTCTTGATAGGCCTCTCAACAGGCTTCGACGCTGATTGGATCGAACTAGCTCTGGATACTGGCCTATCGTCCCCGCTGCTTTCAGAGTCGATCACTTTTTCATCAGAAAGGAATTTCTTGCCCTTTTCTTCGGCTGGCTTGGCCTTGCTGACCGGCTTTTTCGGAGCGGGCTTCTTGGGGTTGTTTGAGAATAAGCGCTTCGTCTGCGCTTCGCGCTCGCTGACCTTCTTCGCCTTGCTTCCTAGCGGCTGCGAATTAGACCGGGCCATGGCCTCGCCCTTTGCCTTGGTATCAACGTCACTCTTATTACCATCCTCCGATTTCTTCATGCCAACCCGAGGGGTTGGTGTTACATTTCCCTTTGCAAGAGTCGCCTGCAGCTTGCTCAAGACGATACCCTTGCCTCGCTCAGAAGGGGTAAGCAACTTCTCCCACTCGACTGCAGAGGTCGGAAGGCGTGACTTGTCGTACTGCCTAATGGCGTTGTCAATTGCCGCGCGGCGATCCTCTTCATTGCGATAATCGTAGTTCCATACGTCCAGCTCCTTCCAGAACACCGGTCGCAGACTGTACTTCTTTGTCGAGGAATCATAATTGGCGATCTTCTCCACATTTCGCTTGAGATCTGCTTCGGCACCTTTCCAAATCTCAGAGAGATATTCGTATGTCCGATCTCTCGAGGCCAATTCGTGGACTAGAATACTCCTTTGGTTCTTGTTCTTTTCCAGGAGCTGTTGGGAGGCGGAAAAGGCTGGGTTCGGCGAGGACACCCCGTTAAGTGCAGGACTCGTTGGTAGCGATCTGGTGGAAGAACTTGACAATGCGCCGGCCATGGCGGTCCTTCCCGCAGGTAAAGGCTTAGGCTTGGTGATTCGTTTAGTCTCTTTGATTTTGTTGTTGGCTGCTCGGGTCGCCAGGATACTGGCGGGTGGCTTGCTAAGAATGCACATGGTGGGATTTGGTAATCGTTGTGCTTTGCTTGCCGATTCTTCTGGTTTCGTGAGATACAAGTCGTAATCGTATGACAGCGAATTTGTTTTGACTTTTTGTTCTGTCGAACCAAAAGTTAAGCTCTGTAAAAAGAGAGAATTATGTTAGTTCAATGGTTCAGGAATCCAATTGAGAAATCAGGCAGGTTTGCCTGGGTGCATGCGTGCAACTTTGGTTGCTACCTAGGTAGGTAGGGTTGACAATCCGTGCTAAGGTGTCGTAGTCCGCAGAGCTGAGGCAGCCAGGAATTCAGGTAGAGAAGGCATTCAGTGCAAGGCAACTACCCCAATACACCTTATCGCCTCTCCTGCTTATTCGAAAATGACAACGACCTAAACTAAAGCGAAAACTACCTGGCAGAGGCAAACTTACAGGATTACTTCCTAGGGTCAATTCAATCTCTTGACCCCCTTGTACACATTTTATCATATCCTCAATCACGCTGTCATTCAACGTGATACCGAAGGCTTGTAACGGGAGGTAATCGCTCGAGGTTGGCGAGCTCTCCAAAAGGAGGCCAGCATCGGGAATCGCGAGGGCTGCCATAGCGAAAGAGTTCGTTATGGGTCGACGATGTGAAGAAAGGGTATATTGTAAAGAATTGAAGATATCGGCAGGCCGATACTACGAGTATAATAAGTATGGACAATGATAGTATAAGAATGATGATATGCCGTATGGTTGTTGTCGAGGAGAGACACCTGCACAAGCTTACAAGCTCCGCACCTTAGCCAGACTATAAGAGTCCAACTTGACAATGACCCGACTTCTTATGCAGCTCTGTCACATGGCTCTACAGCTAAGACCTGAAGGAAGGCTTCCGAGGATACGAGGTCGAATATGTAGTCGAAGGACGAGAGTAAGTTGCGAGGAAAATGACAACTGGGGGGGATCAGTAGGAACCAGTAGAGATACGGGGCAGAAGGATATGAGAAGATGAGAAGAGAAGAAGAAGAGGAGCAGAGAAGCAGAGAAGTGGTAGAGTGAGTATGCGTTGTAAGTTGTGATGTGAGTAGTAGAGAGAGAGAAGTCCACGGGTATGGGGAGTACGAGGTTGTACGGAATAGTCTCGTCGAATCTTGGTCAAGAGGAGAAACAAGGGAAAATGAAGGCACAGATGGATGGATGGATGGGATAGGGTGGGATGGTACTAAAGATACTAAAGGTACTTAGAAGTGGAGCATGACGGGGGTGGTCCCAGGAAGTCCCAGAAAGTCCCAGGAAGTAAAGAGTAAGTACCGCGCTTGCTTAAGTTTCCAGGTTTCCTAATCCTACCTAGTTCCTCCCGCTCGCCCAAGCCCACTGGCCCATACATAACATACATAACTGATACATACCTTAGTACATATATAGGTATATGGTAAACTGGCTGGTAAAACTATGGCTTTATACAGGTAGTAACACAGTACTATGACCTGTACTTCGTACTGGCTGACTGGCTGGCTGGCTGACTTGGTTAGAAGCTAAATGGAAACTAAACCTTATTAGTAGAGTCACTTATTTTCCAACTCAAAGCGATCAAGGTACCAAACTTTTGCACTGTGGAAGAACCTGAATCACAAACACCGAAGAGAAAAGGGTAACAATAGGGGTTGGGTTCATTGAGAAGAAAGAATTGCCAATTCACTAAGAAATTCGTGACACAGATTCTACGGCTTGGAAAGATGACAGTAAGGGTAGCACGTTCTTTCAATGCCTTTTCTCTGCCTTCTTCTGCCTCTTTCGTAAGAATGGCAGCTGGAATAAAAACCGAACACCGACACAGCCAGGATATAGGTACTTTTATGTTAGGTACTATGTAGGTACAACATTAGGTACGATGGTACCTAAGGTAACCGAAGGGAATAAGCTATTATTGGGTAAGAGCGCTGACGGTACAGTAGGGCGAACGCTAGGTTACAGCAGCATAAGGCACCTAACATAGTAGAAAAAATAAAATGTACTTTCAGTGGTAGACAGGGATTATGGATTTGCGGATGGACAGTTGCATGCATTTTCCCTGGGGCGGAAACTCGAGTTAGTTAATGTAATCCGCCTAGGTACGTGTATACATGTATGTACATCGTCCAACTCCATGCTGCGGCCTGCCATGTCAAAATGTTATTATTTACATGTACAATACGTACAGGGTTCTAAAGGTTGGAGGCTAGGTACCTACACCCACCCACGAAAGCCAAACTGACTACTGCTCTAATGGATGTTATGTGTGTGAGATGCGCTACGTATGCAATTCAATATGGTTTAAACCATGGAAAATAAAATAGAAAAAATAAAATATGTTAGGCGTGGTCGTTTGATCGTGTGGTCATGTTCCTACAACGCCGTGCTTTTCCATCGTATCGTATTGTACAACGGTACGATGAATGCATGTCGCAGATGCGTAGCTAAGCTAATGTGTGTCTGTCGCTGTGAGGGAGGATCTAACAGCCGAACGAACGTGGGTACCTGTTGGGATACAATTTCTTTCTCTCTCTCTTTCTTTCTCCCCCTTCCTTTCTCTCGAGATAGGTATCCCATCATAGGTACGGCCATCGGTTTCCTCTCTACAGTACTTAACTTTAACTTTGATACAAGGGGGCGAGGAAAGATCCTTCTAAGTTGCCAAGCCTTTCTACATCTTCGCAATGCAAAGAATAGACGAACACGACGAACAACTATAAAATCTAACTATATCTATACTAACCATTGGCTAGTTCTCGTAGTGCTTGGTGACGAAAGCCGCCACAGACATACACAGATCTACACATATGTACCTAACCACCTGAGGCAAAATATAGTTTATGCGGTACCTCTTTGGCCCTTTTTTTTTCGCCCACGGAGAGCCGAGTGCTGGTTAGCTCTCCGGGACCTAAATTACATCATCCGGCTTGGGCTCTTCCACCCATGTAGATTTACCATACTCTACCATACAAGTCTACCATACCAGTTAGAGATTACCATTGCACTAGACTGCGGCTCACAATCGTGCCACTAAATTAGAAAGAGCCATGATGTGGTAATAGACGAGCCAACTCATCATGAGTATCCATCCATCTCAAGTGATTTATGACAGTCTAGAAGGAAAGTTCGGTGAATGTCCTCGTCAGGAGTGAGGTTTAGATTTGGTTTGATTCATACGTGCGTACGTGCGTCGATGAGGCATTGCGAATCATTGCGAGCCGTTGCGAATGAGTCGACGGGGAAAAAAGATAATCTGTGCATCCTGCTTTAGTTAGTTGTGCTTAGTTGTCAAGGCCTAGCCCCAAGTGTTCCAAATACGAGGCGAAATAGGAAGAAATAATAGAACATTCTATTTTGCTGTAACACTGGTGTCCTTTCTTCGTTGAATCAGAATTCGCCCTGGGCACATGCAATGTCTAGGGACGTACTATGCTATGTACCTGGTTTTGCTGGGTCCTGCTTGTTAAAGTGCTTCGTGTAGATTGCCGGGACATGTAACCAAACATATCGAGAGAATTTTCTAACTTGGAACAATTCATCGCTAACGTGCTATGAATCATCTACGCAGGCATTGGTATGCGTTGGTCAGAAGATCGTAAAATTATCTATGCTCTACGTGCCTAACGACATCTCGGCTCGGCTGACTATAATCTAGGGCATCAAAAATAATAATAACAATAAGATTAACCTAGAGAGAGGCCGTGAGAGAGAGACCCGTACGAATGAGCGTAACAGATATAAGATTTTCTCTCAGAGATGGCTCAATGGGCCCCAAAAAGGGTTCGCCGGCGTGCTGACATGCAGATATTCGAATCCCGATTGGGTATGATTTGTGGTACTAAATGCCGTTCGGGCCAATGGGGAACGAATCTCTACGAGTTAAATAGATAAAATAAAATCAAAGGTAAGATAAAAATTGGATGTCCCAGATCTGACTGAAACAGAATAGGAGCATACGGCATATGGTCTGCAGCAGCTTCTCTCTTTCTGTTCGTCGGCGGCGACCGTGCGGGTATTGTCCAATCTCGACTGTATCCGTACCTATCCTTGGACTGGAGCCAAATAGACGGGCACGCCGTACGTCAAGATCGTCCCATCAACGGCACTCCACGCTTCGAGGGAGGAGGGGGAATTCTTTGACAATTATTTTCTCTCTGAAGAATTGCGAGACCGACAATAGCAAGTACGCTTGACGCTTCGAGGGGAACAATCTAGATGGGGCATACTACAAGGCCATACGATATTTTGTTGCTACTCGCGAAGAACGGTGAGAGAGAACAGGCGGCGATGGAGCCATTTACAGAAGGTTCAAGGTGACTTTCAGGTACGACGGGGGAGGGCCCGTAAGAGGTAGCTGGATATGTATCATCTATGTACAAAGCTGGATAGCTCCCCACAGCAGTCTACCAATGGAATTCGCTCCGGTAAGGTCCAAGGGTTGTCGGTGGGACTTGGATGGCACATACATTAGGTTAGGTACGTAGTAGCCTACCGAATCTTCAGGGTCATTACCTAGGTACGCACGATGGATTCTGGCGTCCCTGACAATCTCCCTCTGCCTCCGGACTGGCCTATTTAAACCAATGCCTTTCCCAACGTGAAAAGACCAATATTTTGAGAGACGGATTATGATAGGAGAAGGGTGATTCACCCATTACACCAATGCGCCAATGCGACTATAACAACTAATATTTCAATATACACGAAATTCCAAGCTTTAGATATAAGACGCAAGCGAACTATATCCTACTACTACTCCTACCTACATATGGTCGGTACTAAATAATACCATGGTATAGTCTTGGCTACCTAGCCAGTACCTTTTTGAATTGTCCCCGTTTTATCAAATTTAGGAATGGTACATTCATCAGCCAGACCAAAAAGGGATGGTTCAAGCGAAGGACATGCGGTAGTACACTGCATATACCATAACTATGGTGTTATGGTCTATGGGTTATGGACTTATGGGCTATGGTATGACTGACACCAGGAACGTCAGTCAGGTCAGTCATCATCGCCCATAAAAGAAAGAAAAAATCATAATAATGCTGGGAATTAGAGTTCTCAGTAGCGAACTCGCAGGAAAACCCGCATCATCCTAAGCACGAAAGAGGTCAGTGAGTAAGCACAGCAACCTGGGACTCGGATAAAAATGCAAATCTATCTACCTGTACACGGCTTGACCTTACCAATTTACTTTGCAAATTCTCTGGGCACTCTCTCCAGAGGCTAGCTGAGAGGCGTTGCGACCTGACATCATTCAGCTTACATGAAAGCTTGATGGAGGGTGAACCCGACGGGTACGTGACTTATTGCCAGATGTAAGAGAAATTACCATACACATCGTGTTGTTTGATATAATGTATAATGGTGATGTTTATGACAGTCTATAATTCTCGTGATGCACTCATCGTTTGGAGGCGTGGGCACGGTGCGGTAGAAGCTACGTGCTACGTGCTACGTGCTACGACCTACGGCTCTCTCATCCTCATCGCTCCTCGTTAGATATCTGCTGCAGGTCATCCACGCGAGAATCTGCACGGGCGAGAAGCCGCCACGAGGGGCCGACGACCGAGAGGAATTGGAAATTCCGTCTGGGTAGGTAACATGGACGTGGCGTTCTGCCCCACACATCCTTTTCTGCCGCATAGATACTACCTCACTACCATGTATGTGTGTAGGTAGGTTGGTAGGTAGGTAAGGTAGGTATGGATGTATGGATGTATGGATGAATGAGTAGACCTGACTATGTAGGACCGATCTGACTTGACTGCTCTTTCAGCTGCTTCTGCTTGGACTATACCCTGTACATTATACGCAAGCAAAAAGAAACATAAAAAAAGAACGAATCGCGGCGTCCGCGGTTGAAATGTATGATTAACTAACGCACATACACACATACATACCTAACATTTATGGAAAGAGTAAAACACACGCATACACTACCGATATGGTTATTTGATATAGACTCAATCACTGCTTTCCACGTTAGCCAGGGCCTTCTCCTTTGCTATTAACACATCATCCGGGGAAAGGCAAGCATGTCGTCACTCGTCACCAACATTACAGATTTGCAAAGCCCATCATCTCATAGTGTTCGCCCAAGGATGGTGCTAGTTGTTGCGTTGCATCGCAACAAACATTTCTACTATGTATGCGCTGGGAGGGGGACGAAAGTATGGATGGGTAGGGGGGGGGGGGGGAGGGATTTGCCTGCCAATTCACCTTACGTGCACACCCCTTGCTAAGAGACCAATTCGTCTGCGCACGCCGTACGGGGACCCCTGGACAAGGCATCTTGTAGATCTCAAGTTCCTCGTCCTCAAGACTGCTCGTACGTACGAGCAAAAGCGCAAAAAGGTCCGAAGCCCGAGAAATTGGGATGGAGGGGTGCTGGGCTATCAGTCAGAAAAGGAACTTGTCAACTTTCATGTGAAGGTTGGGTGCTGAGATAATTGTTGGTAGGGGGTTTGGTATTCCCTCATCAATCTGTATTGTACATCTGATAGGTATATATTTAGTTAGTTAGGTAAGTTAATTAGTTGTCACATCCGAATGCTCGGTAAACTTTTGGATAGAAAACCTATCTCTCTCTTCGGTCGACAGTTGGCTTTCAGTCGGGCAAGAAAGCGGACCTAATAAGTATAGGCTATTACTTATGTGGCTAAGTTAGCACCTATCGAAAAGTCTAGTCCATAATACCATCTAGATTAGCAGCTTGGGAATTCCGGGTCTTGGGTTACTACTGTTAGTGCGTCTCCTAAAGATCTCCAGGACAACCTGCTTTTCCCCCTTTCGCGTCAAGGTTTGAGTTAGAGGTAGTTAGGCCAGGTCAGGTCAGTTACTGTCTACAGTTAAAGAGAGGTGGCTGCAGATAAATAAGATAGACAATTACCAGGTTTTTCTAGTATTAGTATTTAATGTATTATACCTATTGCATGCATCATTTCATCTGGTAGATAAAAGCTGCCCGAGTTTCCCGCTCACGGGCCAAGCGATACAGGTACACAAATACCAACCAGATACCTACCTAGGTACAGTCTTAAGTACGGACACCATCTTAAGATGTCACAGGAGCTAAACCCATTCGACTTGTGCGGAGTGACGGGTACCTAAGTAGTAGTAGGTCGATCAAATAACGGGGCTATTATTGGACGCATCAAGGTAAGGTCAAAAGAAAGCGGGTTGCGGGAATGCAAGCACTCGTCGAAGGTTGTCCGAATGCCCCGCCGTCACATCCTCGATCCAACCCACTAGACCCGATAACTCCAGCTGCTCCAGCTGCTCCAGATGGGTGGACTTGGAAACTGGGAGTATGGGATTTTCCGACTCGCGCAGGCCCATTGGTTATAACGACCGGTAACGAATGGGTGCAACGGAGTTGCACCTAGTAACTACTATGTACTATATAATACAAAAGGTGAAAGGTTCGGCCACGCCATTGCAACTTTAATATGTTTGCGATTTGTTTTAGTAATGAAGCTTATTGTGATCTTGTCGGCTAACTTGGCTCAGCTTCAAATTGCATTTACTCTTCCCAAAACCAACCATATATAAAACAGGTAGAGGAGGACGAATGAATGAATGAATGAATCGATGGTCGGTTGAATTAACATAGAACATAGTATTATATAACTATCAACTAATTAAAAGGTCGTCGTCTAGGTTTTATACTTCAGCAGACCTATCAGGTAGGTACAATAGACGTATATGACATATCAGCATGCTTACACAGTATTAATTAACTTTCAAATGTAAAGCAATAAGTAGCGTACACGGATTCAGTTGCTCGATTACTTGATCACTCGATTATTAACTCGTAATCTAGTCTCTTCGGAGGGTGCAGACCGGTGGGCGACCGCGGATGGGCGGGCGGAGGAAAAAAAAAAAAAGGTCGGCTGGTGATTCGTTACATTAGGTATGTGTAGTACAAATTTACGTACATATACCATACACCATATGCCATATGCCATATGCCATACCTATGCTATTATACCCTAAACTCGATTCCTAACATCCATCTATCTTCATGGGGTGATTATTTGATAGATAGGGTTCGGTAGTGTGACACCGGGGAAAATGCCGTTCCTTGAAATGTTTTATTTTCTTACCGTAGTTACCTTAGGTACCTTCTAAGGTATAATGTCCCATGTGTGCATGTGCATGTGCGTGTGCGCGTGCGTATACTTGTACCACTCCTATTTATGTAATTAGTAACAGGTACGGAGTTAAAAGTCATCATTCCTTAGAACCAAATAGAGCTTGGGATTCGTAATAATATTGCTTACGTAGTTCTTAGACCCTGGCTTAGGTTCCAAAAGATTCTCACCCATGTGACAGCATCCCCAATGTACGACGACTTTGCATGTGCGTTCAGGAGGATTGTGACTGCATATCTTCCCATATATCGCCAGTAGACACACCAAAGTCTATATAGTAGGTAGGTACATATGATACCTAAGTGTGGATTCAGAGTTCAGGGTTCAACGAGGGCTTCTCTAGCAACACATATGGTATATCGAAATGACGGGGAACCCTCGAAAATGGGAATATCCTTCGTACTCAATCAAATGTATTTAAAACTGGGTCTCGCCCGGTGGAAGTCGCTGGTACGAAGTAGCTATGAAAATATTCTATAAAAGGTTGATTGAGCCTGAGTCGGCGGTTACCTTCGTCTGCGGAAAGGTACCTTTGCGGAGCCGAATTGCGGAGTGCGGAACCGATATCCCGCCTTGGGAATATACTAGGTACCTTACATATTTGCTCAAACGCATTCAAATAGGTATACCTGTTAGAAAGTTGATCCTGATAATAGCTGTAATCGATATAGGTTTCTAGATCGAGGCCTGCACAAGTCGACAGCATTCTGACATATCTTATGAATTATATCAAGTTGTGGTATAGACCAGGTACTTTGTATCGCATGTTCTTCATGTTGCGTATTCATATTATTCTCCTATGAAAAGTATTTTATGGATGACGATACGCAGTGACCCAGTATCGAAGCGGCGATCATATTATCACGATTAGGGTATGCGTTATCATATGATTCGTGTCCTCGGAATTGTCTTGATATTAAAAAAAGTCAACACGAACGCCAGCGCCACCACGAGCTTAGAACCCGAGCAAGAGTTAGTGTCTTAAACTACAAGCCGCTACTCTACTGCGTCTTGAACAGCAGGATGGCGCAGTGTCCTAGGTAGAAGTAGATAAAATGCTTCGTTTCTGGAACCATGTTGTTAGCTTAGCCTGAGTTTAAATTTGGGTAGGACCGTTGCGCGTTGGAAACAAGGGCTGCATACCGTGAGTGACAAAACTGCCGAAGTTTCTTCCTACGATGCAGTGCCAAGTCGGACCCTTTCGATCGTCGAACTAGAGATGGATTTAGTAACGCCGGCGACGAGAACTATCCGCAAATAGATCGAATGGGCTAACATACGGTACGCTTGATGTGTTGTGCAATGTCCTTCTCGATGGTGTACTTGCCCATGGCTTCCTGAGCTATATTCTTGAAGTCAGAATCCGTAAATCCGTAGCTCCCTGAATGACGACACATACCAACATCGATCGCTTCTTGCTGCATATCCTCCGTCTGACGTTCCGTGTTAGCTTTAGCTTATTCCGAAGCGCTATTCATTTTCGGGTAATTCTGACCATATCTGCAGACTTGATTTGGGCTATAGGGCGAGGACAAGTTAGCCAACCGTCATTTTTGTCCTTTCGCGTAGAAACAGACCTTCGAGTTTATCGCGGGTGCCGGCCGGAGGGGGTGACTGTTGTTCAGCCATTGTATTAAACTTGTAGGGAATAGTATCGACTTTGTAGTAACTTCGCGAGTCTATAGCAAGGATAATGGTCAGTAAGTACACCTTTGCTGAGGCCAAGACGAAGTGAGAGCAACGTGAGACGAATGGATTATCTGGAAGATAGGGTGAGGACTTATGTAAATATACGGTGAACATACCTAAGCTTGAAGCCCGAGCTTAATGGTAAGAAAGATGGAATGATATATTCGTGTACTTGTCTTACAGAAAAAGAAGAAAAAGAAGAAAAAAAGAAAGTCGCGACGGTACAAGCTTCGCGATAAGACCGTATTGTGTTAGAGTTAAGGTTGTTGAATGCGTTGCAAAGTGGGTTGGTTTATGCCCAATTGTCGCGTGTTTGGCGACTTGAGAGGTCGGCACGTATTGTACTGTGTAGACTTGTTGTAGCTATCAATTCAATTCAATTCATCATTGGTCCCCTCCGGCCCCTGTACCTAACTCAAAAAATTAATTATGTACTCCGGTCGTAATTATTCCTCTCATTGGCCGATACCGATACAACGAACCACTTATCGACAGTAAAGTTGGAGCTAAATTGTGGATCGTGGGGCTGAAGAGCCTCAAGACGCAAGAGAGACGTTGAGCCACGTGATGATAAAAAGATTTGAATATCTGATACGCTAGTTAGATAATTTTATACAATTTTTTTTTTCTCTACCCTATTTTTCTATCACCAACTTCCCTTCAGTCGTTCTGCAGGCGCTACCAAAGCGACCTCGAACTCGTCCTCCAATCAAAGCCACTCAAACCGTAGTAATCCTTTGTTCTCTTTTACTTTTCATACTTTCAATCTCTTCTCGGTCGCGTTATATACCCAATAATCACTCATCATGGATTCGTCGCGAATCTTCGTTAAAGGTCTGCCACCGAATCTCAACGAGGCCGACTTGCGCAAGCACTTCGCGTCCAAAGGTCAAATCACAGACGTTAAGCTGATACCTCACCGAAGGATTGGATATGTTGGCTATAAGAGCTCAGAAGAAGCTGCCAATGCGGTCAAATATTTCAACCGTTCCTTTGTACGGATGTCCAAGATATTCGTCGAGTTAGCAAAGCCCGTTAGTATTTTTAGTATAGCACCAGTCCGCATTAGTTTAACATTCCTTACAGATAGCCGATCCCTCATTGTCCAAGTCTAAAGATAGGAAAAACAAGCCAATCCCTGCTACGGGTGTCTCTCAGGAGAACACCAAACGCTCTGCGGAGTTGGAGTCACAACCCGAAAACTCGAAGAAGAGGAAGCGGGACGAGATTAATGAGTCCGACCCGAAACTGCAAGAGTTTTTAAATGTTATGCAGCCTGCGAAGACTTCAACAAGCAAGATACACGGAGTTGTTACAGAGCTTGCAGATGAGCCCCCTGCAAAATATGCAGCACTTGTTGAGGAGGGCGCGTCTGATGATGAATACGAGGTTGTACCAAGCCGACGGAAAAAGAGCCAACCTGTGGAAACTGCAAAGCCGGCACAGACCCCAGATATTGTGGACCATGGAGCGAATAGCCAGCCTCGAACGGAGCCCCATATAATTGAAGAACCTCAAGGGGAACCGAGGCCAGTTGTTAGTAGTGCTATTGAGGCTACAACATGTGTGTCTGCCACAGATGAGGACTGGCTACGGTCACGGACGAGCCGATTGCTTGACCTGGTTGACGACGAAGATATCGTGCCTAACGCTGCCCCTCCTGAAGATCAGATATCTGTACCGCCAACCCAGGAGCAAGAGCCCGAGGTTGTTGATGCTACTCTTGATGAGGATCAAGTCATGAAAGACCCAACTCCTCAACCAGATGAGCACGGGCCTGAGACAGAAACGAAAGACGATGCCCTAGATACAGTCCGTAAGACAAAGAGATTGTTCGTGCGGAACCTTCCGTATTCTGCTACCGAAGATGAACTTCGGTCGTATTTTGAGCGATATGGTAACGTTGAAGAGGTAAGCATTTTTCAATAGGTTTTGTTTTCTTCGGTTCTATGATGAATCCCAGATAGGGACAGCTGATATCACAAGGTATCTGATGAGAAGCCTGGGCCAGTATTTTAGTAGATGCTCTATGTCTGAGAACCATCCCTTCTTCCTTGAATTCTACTTGTTACATATCTTCCATTCCTGCTAAAATGAAGATAGGTACATGTGCCGATGGAAAACTCGACCAACAATCGCGGAATTGGCTTTGTGCTGTTTGCTAGCTCAGAAGATGCGACAAAAGCATTCCAGACAGATCGCTCTTCTTTCCAAGGGCGAATATTGCACGTTCTTCCAGCATCAGCGAAACGTGATCACAATTTAGATGAGTTCGCACTGTCGAAATTACCATTAAAGCAACAAAATATTATTAAGAAAAGAGCTAAGGCGGCGGAATCGAGATTTAACTGGAATTCACTTTTTATGAGCCAGGATGCTGTAAATAATTCAGTTGCAGATCGTTTGGGGATCTCAAAAGCAGAACTGCTTGACCCAACCAGCTCTGACGCAGCTGTGAAGCAAGCGATCGCAGAGACTTCGGCGATTCAAGATACCAAGGCCTACTTTGTAGCCAACGGTGTCGATTTGAACGCATTCAAATCGGGACCCCGGGGTGACACAGCCATTCTAGTCAAGAATTTCTCTTACGGCACTACAATAGAGGAGATCAGAACCCTCTTCGAAGAACATGGTCAAGTATTGAAAGTACTCATGCCGCCGACAGGGACAATAGCTATTGTCCTGTTCGCCCAGGCCCCTCAGGCGAAAGCGGCTTTCGCCAAATTAGCATACCGTCGGTTCAAGGACTCGATTTTGTTTCTTGAGAAAGCACCAAAAAACTTATTTGTGGGTAAAGAGCCACAATCTGAAACGGTGCATACTAGAGAAGAGCCCAGTGCTGTGCAGAAGCTGTCGGCGTCTGAGCTACTGGAGAAGGAACCTGAAGAACCTATTGAGTCAAGCTCGCTATTTGTAAAAAATCTCCATTGGGATACCACTACTGAGGAGCTTGCAAATGAATTCAAGCACCTCGAAGGATTCAGGTCAGCCCAAGTGAAGACAAAGAAAGATCCCAAGAAACCTGGCCAAGTGCTTAGCATGGGCTTCGGCTTTGTCTCATTTTCCGACAAGAAAACCGCCGAGGCAGCCTTGAAGATTATGGATGGCTATGTCCTTAGAGCACACAAACTTCAAGTTAGAGCTTCGCACCGCGGACGGGACGCCGCGGAGGAGCGGAGGAAGGAGGACAATGCGAAGAAGGCCGCAAACCAAAGAACAAAGATTGTGATAAAGAACGTCCCCTTCCAAGCTAACAAAAAGGATATCCGGATGCTCCTAAGCACATATGGCCAGCTCAAATCAGTGCGCTTGCCCCAAAAATATAATGCCACTAGTAAAGGGTTCGCCTTCGCCGAGTTCGTATCGCCGAAGGAGGCAGAGTCGGCGCTGTTAGCCCTACAGGATACCCATCTATTGGGTCGCAGACTCATCCTCGAATATGCAGAAGCAGAAGCGATTGATCCTGAAGAAGAAATCGCAAAGATGCAAAGGAAAGTTGGCGGCCAAGCTAGTAAAATGGCCCTGCAACAACTCACAGGGGCAGGCCGTAAACGGGTAAACCTAGGAGGTGATGAAGACGAAGGGGAGATCTAACGAGTAATTAAATGTGCCTATATTTCCAATTCCGTGCCTGACGCCACTGGAGGAGTGCAGGCATTGCCACGTTGGGAGCTAGGGACAATGGTTCATTGCGTTATCCCTTGTCAGGGAGAGGCACCCATTGCTAGATCTGGTGCCACTTCTTGGTCCCAGGAGTTCGGCATCGCAAAATAGCGTGCAGATTTATCCCCTCATTTGAGTGGCTCCTGCAACCCCTCCCGATTGAATCTCTATCGGTCCTAGACTTGATGATCCTATATGGGTACGTTAATCAAAACGCATTCCCCCCGCAGAGTCCACCACAACTCCCCATCGTTGACGGCCCGAGACGGGTTAGAGAACTTCAGAACAGGAAATTAAAACATTCCCACGGTGAGTCGATTGCAGTTAATTCTTATCATCTCTATTTGATTCTCCTTGCGTGCCAGCAGCACGCGACGCCTGAGTGAAAGACGTCATGTGCTTATCTCGACCTCCTTGGTCGTGGCGTCTGTACTATTCGCAGCATTTCTCCATGACGCCCTGGGAACCTCCTAGTGGAGGTTCCCAGGGCATGTGTGCTCCTCGAGGGGTCATTTATTGTCACACTCCTAGATAGCCGAGTAGCAGAAGTCGAGTAAATGTAATCTCTATAAGATATGGCGATCATCTCTTCCATACCAACACTTCAGTCCAGCAGAACTATCTCTAGTCGTAATAGTAATGGGCATTTTCTTTGCCGCTGCCATTCCTTTAAACATATCTTAATTCTACCTCCCAGCGTTCTTGGGAGCCCTCCACGCATTCTCCAGAATTCTCGCTCCTTTTACAACACATTCTTTTCGTCTTTTCGTCATACCCATCCATCCAAATGGACCACTCACGTCCTGTCCTGTCATCTCAAAGATACTCTCCAACATCAGACTACGCATACGAAACCGATCACGAACTAATGCCTATGACACGACAGCCTCTTAGTAAATCCACGGGCAACGTTCAATCACATAGTCTGGCTACTCTGGCGCTGTGTAATCACTCCTTATCACCACCTCTGCATTCTATACCAACACCACCTATAGTCCCAATACAGGCTTTGACCTCGACTTATGGGACAAGCTTTCGAGGTGGACGCTCTTTACACCGAGATGTATCGTTACGAGAGTCACCAATGGGTTATCCGAGGGGCAGAAAAAACCCCATCTATGCTTATAAGCACTTCGCCGATTATCGTAATAAAGTAATGCAAAAGGAGCTCGAAAAGGAAAAACCGATATGGCCGCTATGGTTGGAGGATGCCTTCCTCGATGGTAAGTAGCCGTAGCTATAGAGTTACCAGGAACGCTCTGTGCTAACTTATAGAAGCTCTCCTTTTAATCCCACAGATGGGCCGGAAGAAGTTCAGCTCAAAGACCATCCTTTACGGGCGGAATATGCTCATCACAGAATATCTATGGATCTACCACTGGCTCTTACATCCCCCACAGAACGGAGAGGCTATACCAAACAGACAGGAAAGGGAAAAGGATCCGGACGATCCGAAAGGAAAACCTCACCCAATGTACAGGGGGCGAAAGCAGGTATCAAGCCATATCCAAGTTTTGAAAGGCTTCTTCGCTACATTGGTCACTTGTAAGTACACCTAAGGCCGCGAACTATTGAGAGACTCTATACTAGCAGGCAGAAGTGGCTGACCCCGTCTTTAAGTCAACTTCATATTTCCAAGCAAAAAAGACGCCAAGGAAGAAGATAGAAAGTTAATAAGGGACGATGACGACACAGAATCCTTCAAGAACAACCGAGTGCTCATCTCCATAGCCGACGGTCGCCTTCCCGATGAAAGGCCAAACTATGAGTACTTCGCTCGCCTTCTCAGTGCTGATAATGATGTTTTCCTGCGACCAAAACAATGCTGGATCTTCGTCTCGTCGTCTCAAGTCATCCTCAAAGAGAAGCATTTGAAGATGGACGACGGCACTACGAAGAAGCAGGTTACAGGATGTACGCCTAGCGGGCACTGTCTCAGAGAGTCGGACTACCCTCATCTCAAGCTTAATGACGGTAAGGAATACAAAGACTTACCACGAAACGGGGACCAACCGACTGTGCTTTTGCACGAATACACAAGGTCACTCGCGCAAAAGGAATCATCTTCAATTAAAGACATATCCAATCGATGGGATGTCCATTTCCCTGAGCTCAGAGAAAAGCTCCTTGCTGCACTAGACGACACGCACCCATCGGACGAGAGGACATCACGGTGTGTTGTTGGACCCTGCGACACTTTCCAATTCGAAGTGACGCTTGACTTGCACGCAACGTCCAAATTTCCTGACGGATCTGAGCTCAATGGCATGGTTGAGCTCTCGATAAACAGGCCTGAACTACACAACCAGAGCTGGAGGTCTGTGACTTCTGTCGTAAAGCCAGAAGAGCTTCATATCTCCGGGTCAGAACCTGACTTCTGGGACCGCAGCAACCCTGTTGAGGTTATCGTCTCACATCGTGTTGGCTGCAATGGCATAGGGCGATGCGATTGCGCATCTCGTGGCAGCCGCGATACTATCGGCGTTCCGTTCCCGGCTGCGAGCTGGGCTAATACTTTTATTAAACTAGCACCATACGTGACGGCGGAACGGGAACGTCGAGAACGCAAGGGCCGCGAGCAGGATTCTACTAGAGCATCCCAGCCTTCCCGAGCAGAACGCGAAAGCGCAAGAACGAAGAAGGAAGACAGCGGATCGGACAAGGGTGGCAACAAAATGCCAACTCCCAAAGAACTCTTGTCTCAGGTGGCTATGTATCAAGAGATCTGGTCTGCACCCAATGAGGGCCCTGGCAATGGTATCGAAGGTGGGAAGCGCGGATGGACAAGGCGCGCAGTCATATTATGGACCTTCGTCCCTGTACACGACAAGAAGAACGAGAAGGGAAAGACAGTCACCGTCGCCCCCGGCACGAATTGGCGCTTTCTAACCAAGATCGACCCGACATCTGAATACCACCAGCAACGTGCGTATATGCCGGGCTCACCTTCGGTCTCTCGTGATAATGTTATGTCGCCTAATCCTGGTTACCAGGCCCACCTTAACGCCTCCATGCACGAGAATCTAAGCGCGGCGTATGAGGCTGCTCCTGTCCTACCATCAAGCACATTGCCAAGTCAGCACCACCAACATTCTCAGCACGCTTCGCATCATCATAGTCACCCTCACAGCAATAACCATAACCATAACCATATACCCCCGGGCCTAGATCTCCTGGAAGGCTTTGATAATGGCCTCGTTACACCGCCACCTACGGCATCGCTAACGGGCGGTTATCCACATAACTTTGACGATAATGCCAGCGGGGACTCGACACTTCATCATCAGTTGAGCTTCATATCAGATGCCACGAGCGGTGCCGGAACCAACACTATCCCTGCCGAGATTACCGGCGGCAGTAGTCACAGCGGCAGCAGTGCTGGCACAGATCATTTCCTCTCCGGCTTAGGCGTACCCGTATCATCATACGAAGACAGCTGGACAGTCTCAGCGCAAAGCAACGGTCTTAGCCTCGACACTACAAGTTGGGGAGTGGGCGTCAGCTGGGCAGATCCCACAGGCGGTCTAACTAGTGCAACTACAAGCGCCTCAACAGGAGAACCGTTATGGGCTAATTCTCTCCCCGGTACCGTTAGCGAACACAACTCCCGTGACACCAGCTTCAGCGGCGCGAGCAGTTCGCATTGGGGCGGCCCCGGAGCCGAGGAGAAAGAATCCTCCCTATGGGCGAGCAAGACAGAGCACAGTTCTCACCATCAGTACGCCGCCCAACAGCAGCAACAAGACCCATGGGCCTCGTGGCAGGCTGCAAGCACGGACCAGCCTACTTGGAACATGGATACACAAGATTTTGCACTAGACCTGGGAGCCACGAGCAACTCAGGGTTGTCGCATACGAATATGCGGTCCCACCCGCAGACCCAGGTCGCAGGGCGTAAGCGCTCGCGCGCGGATAGCGTTGGTGCGGGTGCCGGGGACGATACAGTGTACCCCGTGCACTCTATGCGGAAGCTGTCACATCCGACTGCCCTTCCCAGCGGCCGGGGTCAAGCGCAAGGGCGGACAGGCCAGACCGCGCCCACCGCTGTTATGGATGGTGGGCAGCAGGGCTACTTGTAAAACTGCATTGTCCATCTACCTAACCTAGGTACTCTTTCTTACCACATTTTACTGTTGATCTCCGGTGTACACTATTATTACTACTATTACTACTATTACGGTCTACGGTTTTCGGCGCTCGTCAACTTAGGTTAGGTGTAGTCATATTTTGGAGTATAGCTTTGATTAGCATGGCATGCACTTACTTGTATTATTGGCAGGTAGGCGTTCTACTTGGGGTTTCTCTGCCGGCCTTTGATCAAGCGCCGCTGGTTCTTTCGGGGAAATTAGGAAATGGGACGGTTCGGCGGTAAACGGTGTTTGTATTAATTTTGATCTTTTATCGTGGACTTGCATCTATGCAACTATATTATATCACATCTATAGTTATTGAAGTCTAAAATCCTTTCAGTGATATCCGCCCCCCCTACATGCTGTAACTAATGCATGTGACATCAACTATTCAAATCGTCTAGTCTTAATTATTGTGTCCGCCATCTAAGATGAGCAGATTTCTTTGAGAAGTAGTTAGATTATGAGGCCATGGAATCCAATTTCTACCTAGTCAACGTAGGACAAAGCTACCGAGCACCGGAGCATGACGAACGGGTTGGCGGTGTAGCAAGATTTCGGGATAGGAAACCTTAAATCCAAAAGCAAGGGCGTAAGTAGTCGACACGTTAAATACCCGAATCCAAACAGCGCTTTAGCAGTTTGGGGAACAACGGCTTTACAGACCTCGTGTTTCAAGCAGGGAGAGCTTTTTTTTTTTTTTCCTCGGGAGGTCTTAGCAAGCAAGGGTCCTTGATTGGGGAATCAATCTATGTCAGTTTCCCTCCAAAATGCTACCGCGCGGATCGGCAGCAGGGAAAACCCCCTTGCTATCAGGGTTAAAAATGGGCGAATAGATGATCGGCTCAACTAGCAAGGGTATCTGGGTGGCAATTAAGCAACGATAATTGAACGATTGTGAAACGGTAGTTAGTGGTCCAGGCTCTAGCAATGGGTAGAGATCTTTTAAAAGCTGGTTATCAACTTCGACTTGTTCGACCTTTCCTATCCGCTACGCTCAGGGGAACGAAAGTATATCCTAACCTTTTTCGTAGATGGGGGGTATATAAGGAGAAGTCTCTATGTAGTATCGTTGAAATCAATGCGTTGAAAAAAAAAGGCGAGATTTGAAAGCAATAACCGATTTTAAGCTTATCTTAGTCGGAGAACTGCTTGTCGTCGGTATGAGAATTTGACTTATGCGGCGCTTAACAATTGCACAAACGGATATGTGAGTGGGTATTCTCCCCCCCCCTTTTTCGATGATCATTCCGGCTTGGGCATCTCCTGTAATTTTCGAAGCACGGCGCGTAACGCAAGAGAACACGAGACAGGCCTCAAAAATTCATTCCAGAGGTGTAGGTGTAAGGTCTACGGGTCAACAGTAGGTAAGCACATACGTAGAGAATATGAGAACTACCCGAAAAGCCTCTTGCCAAGGCGGCGGGTAAAGTAGCCAACCAAGTCGACCGTATTAGAGAGGGTCGCGACAATGATGATACAGGAAAGCCAACGTCATTTTACGTGGCCTCGCACAACGGTCTTCCAAATACCTTGAAGAAGGCTGGCTGCTTAAAAGCCTTAAGCTGGTGTAAAAGGTAGCTAGGTCCCATAGATAGGCCAGAAGAAAAAAAGAGAAACAAGAAACAAGAAACAATCAACAGTTTGGCCAATTTGTAGCCTCTCGATGCGATGAAGATTTGTAGCGTTTTGTCGCAAACCGGGGTGGGTATCGTCACTTGATTGGTCACGATGCAAAGAATTAAGAAGACGGAAGATTATCCACAGATTGCCCACAGATTTGCCTACTAAAGTGGAGATCATATGGAGAAAATCCGATCCAAAAGGCGCTACGAAGACGAGGTAATTCCACATAGTACGTATTAATATCTAGGTTACTTTTATCGGTTGCTACAGCAAAAAGGTACAAATGCTTATCGTTATCAGTAATTTCGGACATTGGTACCTGCATGAGCTAAACCCTAATCAGATAGATCCCGCCATGCTGTGTCATGACCCCAACCCCAACCAACCATCCACATCTCGGTACATCCACATCTGCATCAACATCAACATATGTAACTATGTACGTACCTTTAATAGTCATAGTCGCATTACAGTACATTACATTACATTACAAGGTGAAGGTCTACTTCGTAGGTTGGGAACATAGGTAATACGCATCTCATCTAGAGGCGCGCATTAAACCCTCGTCCCCAGACAGGAAACAGCCGCTACGAACAATGTCCGCCTATCATGTACTCCGCGCTATTCTAGCAGATACAGTCAAAACGCTCTACTGTCCCAACCTGACCTGAGAACAAGGCCGTCATCATGAGGCCGGAACTCTACAATGTTAAGATGGGGCTAGAAAAATACGTTATAATTTATATCATTATTTCATCCGGGCAGAACCGCTCTCATGTTGACGAGAAGTAAAATCACGTCTTATGTTCTTGCATGAAGATCGCATGAAGATTGCATGATACTTCGTGCGATACCATACTTAGACCTCTTGTCTTTTTTTTTCTTTCTTCCGATATTGAGTAGACCCCAAAGTACTTCAGAGTTGGATCATCAGGTAAAATCTGTTACAGAAATCCAGCCTGTTTGCTCACCATCTAACAAGTACATAGATCTGTATGCGCGGGACCTCCCCGTTCTAAGTAATTCGGCCATTGAATCATTCGAAATCGACAACTTCAAGGAAACATTCACACCTTATTTCATTATCTATTATACAAACATCGACGGGTTGATTCGGTAGAGGACTCAGTAATCGATTTTGGCACCTGTCTGGGGTTGTAATAACCAGGCACCACCACTTTGTTAAAAAAAAACAATACCAGCAGAACAATCACTCTTGTCCCTCGTCATTATCAATCATCCAACAACGAGGTCGATTGTTCTTTTCTTGAGCCACATTGTTCTGGCCCATCACAAAGGAAACAATTCTGCCTGTTTCTCCTACCTCCCAGGGCAGCCTGTCCATATCAACAGCCCTGCTCCTTACCCATTCGCCTTTTTCTTTCAAAAAAATTCACGAACCTACATCTTCTTATACGCAAGTTTTAAAACACGCTTCTTCTTTTTATTACGAATTATTCTATCAATTTCTTGTTCATCGAACAAACCCATTTCAACCTCGCGGCCATAAGGAACACTTCTAAGACATCCGTCCTCTCGAGGACCTACTTCTTCTAGTTTTATCTTTTTTTTCTCCTCTCTCGCAGGCGAGACACTCAAGTCAACATCAGACAATAACAAAAGTTATCCCAAAACTGTCTTAATTCACCTTCAAGATGCCGTCTTACAGTATTTCTAAGGCGATTTCGCTTACACTTGTCGCGGCCTCTGCCGTCGTCGATGCTCACTCCTGGGTCGAATACGTCCGCAAAATCGACTCCACCGGTGCCTTTATAGGTTCCCCGGGCTTTCCGTATGCATACATGAACCGTTCAGCTCTCGGCTTCACCGACGATATGGTTCAGAACAAAATCCTAGATACCAAGTCTAATCCGCCCGTGTGCAAACCCAAAGCCAACGCCTATGACAAGCTAGACCGTCTCACCGCAGCTCCAGGAGACTACGTTGCCCTGCTCTACCAGGAGAATGGACATGTCACTCAGCCTGACATTACACCCCGTCCCTACCGTGATGGGCTCGTCAGCGTCTATGGTACTCTTCACCATGAGGACTCGGATGGTATTAATGATGTTCTGGGCGCGTGGACTGCCGATGGCAAGGGTGGTAACGGCAAAGGTAAACTTCTAGGAACCCACTTCTACGATGACGGCCAATGCTATCAGAATGCTGGCCACAACTTCGCTATCCCCATCTACGCCTCGCGTTACAAGGAGCACGGTCTAGAAGAGTTGTACTGCCAGACCGACTTCCAACTTCCCGAGGATCTCCCTCATGAGGGAACCTACACGGTAATGTGGGTTTGGGATTGGCCGCTTATCACCTCCGACACCACGAACGTGACCGAGATCTATACCTCGTGTGCCGAAATCCAACTTCAAGCCCCCAAGTCCGGAAAGAGCCAGGTCAAGTTTTCGGAGAACCATCCTATCGACAAGGCAGCCATCAAGTCCCAACTCAACATTCAGTTCGAGGCTACCGGTTTGGGAGTCGGCACCCACCCGCCAGCAGCACCAACCGAGACTCCCGCTACTTCTGCGGACAATGGAAGCCCTACATCGGAACCGGAAACTACGGTGGGAACTTCGACATCGAAGAAGCATCATAAGGGAGTCAAGACCGTAACTGTCACTGCACCTGCTATGACAACTACCGAGTGGCAGACCGTTACCATTAGTGCTGGTGGTGCTGGAAACACCGGGTATAGCGAGTCATATGCAACCATCAACCCTGCCCCGACCCAGAATGCAACTACCTCAGCGCAAAAAGTAGCGCCCACTTCCATCATCCCCGTCACGTCCGTCTCCAAGTTTCTGAAGGCGCGAGCTACCGGACAAGCACGACGAAACAACTACTACGCATAAAGGCCTCAAACCTTTGAGGGCAGTATGGGCTGTGTCCAATTAGTTTTTATTCCCTTCATGATACCCCTTTCATTGAACGTCTTTCATTCGGGTTTCTTCACTTGCACATATTTATTGTACCCTTTTTCTATTAATACACACTACTTCCAACGTCTGCGCCTGGCGCGCCTTATGACCCGCATTACGAAGACATGATACCTCCTTTTGTTTTTTCCTCCTCTCTTCTAGAAAAACTCATAGAATGGAAAGGGGGCTAGCATCATCGCTCTTTCGTAAAGTATAGCGTTGGCGATCAATCGCTACTCGGAAGGGAATAAGGAGGGGGGAGGGGCATTTGGCATTTGCATCAGGTACCGGATCAACTCATTAGGCAAAAGGAATACGGGGTACGGTAAATGGAATCCCACAATGGGAACAGTATCTATCTCGAAACAGGATGGAAATACCCCAGATCGGCTATTATGTTAGGCCAGACGGATGGATAGGAAAGGCGTTTTACGGATAAGGGGGGGAGGAAGGGGGAATGCTACCGGAATGCATTACACAAAATGTGTGTGCGGAATAGGAATGACTTTCGTTCGTATGCGACAGTAGCTAGATCTACTTACTGCAGTAAATTAAGCTCGTCGTGAAAATATCCACTGACTTCGCCGAAACTTCGTGACGTATCTCAGATTAATGCTCTCTCCATATCAGATCCTCGAGAGATCAAGTAACAGATGAATTTTTTTTTTAAAAAAAATAAAAGAGTACAAATAAAGGGGCCCAAGGTTCTGCACATAAATAAAAGGCGGCATTGTATTGGATCTTTCGCCTTTATCAGATCTCTCTCATGCCTTGTCTTAGATCTTGCAGCAAAGTCAATGCAGCCCTCATGCAGGGCATGTCTTGGCAATGTAACGCATCTATATGCCGATGCATATATGGAAAATATAGAAGCGAACCAATCATGGAGGTACTTTTCAATACGAATCCATCATGGCCTATCTTCTTCTAAGACATCACGCAACCCAGCCGTCCCCGGCACAAGTCATCCAGTTAACGCCAACGAGTTTTAACCCGTGCTTCTCGGCAAACTCGGCAGGCTTGAAGAAGCGGCGCTGGACGAACTCCTCGCCGCCGACATCTTCTTTCGCTAGGGATAATCCTGCCGGCTCCCGATATAGGAGGAAGAGGTACCGGTGAGGCTTGGAACTTTTGACCAAGTTATTGTATTAGTCACTTTCTTTTTTTCTTCTTTTATCTTTATATAGATATAAGGAAAGGAAAAATAAAGAAAAAAAAAAAAAATACGGACTCATCCTTCGGCCCCGGCCCAAGATACTCCGTCAACGTCTTCGCCTCACCACCCTTCCCCTCCGGCTTCAACCCACCCACAACATAATGTCTCCAAAAAGCGAACTTGGGATCATCCGGGGTTGGCGCGTCTGGATCCGTCAACATGAACAGGTACGAAGCCGAAGAAGCAGCCTTTTCTGCTTCCTCGGGCAAGAACGATATCCGTGGGGCCTGCTTACACTCCCCGGCGCGGAAGAAGGTCCCTAAGGTGACCGCCTTGTCGCCGAACGAGACGGCCAGCGGCGTGGTCGGCGCAAAGTCCGCCGGGATCAGCGCCGACGCGGGGCCCGGGACTAGGTTGGCGCTGGAGAGGGAGGATCTCAAAGCTGCGACGTGGTCGGCGAGGGACATGGTTGCTTAAAGGTACGGTATTGAATAAAATAAAGCAAGCGAGAAACTAGCAACCTATCCTCAAAATATATTCGATTTCGCAACGAATACAGCGAGCTCATTTAATATTCTCCTCCGTTTGTTCCCCCTGGCTTCTTCTCCACTTGACTGGCAAGGATGGCAGAACGCTTAGTGGTGGAATAAATACGATATAAGGCTTGGCGGAATTCAACTCAGCTTCCTTAGATGGCATAACTGAACTAACTGTAAGGACTGACTACATGCACTTGGCGTTTGGACCTTGTTGAATAGTTATCCCGATAGAGCGAGATATTGATATGAGGTAGTATATCGTAGCGTGGATTCTTTGCGGTAAATCCCCCTTAACTCATTTATATCTGGCGTATCAATAAGGGGAAGTGACTGCTACTATTGCAGCTAATTGCTTACGGTACGTAATTCGAGTACCTATGAGTACTTATGGTAAGCCATAACCACCTTCCGCTGTTTTTTATAGTCTAATCTTGGTCCTATTTCACGATCTATTCTCTTCTCGCTCGCACCTTTGAGAGTAATTCTGCCCATGACTAGGTCGAAATCAATACTGTTTATAAGCCACATAGAAGATGGCTGAATCGTTGTCTACTGGGGATGGTACGTTGTGTCGCCGAGGAATCAAATGACGCGGTTTGCCTAATAACCTTGCTTCCATCCCTATGCGTAATACTCGTGGGGTATTCGCTTCCTCATTCACTTGGTAACTTGGAAACCATGGCGTCGTTACGGCGTGAGAATAAGCTGATATCAAATTCTAGTTCGTCCTCCGAATCGGTTAGATCGCCGTATATGACTTCACATGCGCCGGCCAGCGGTACATCCATAACGGCGTCGGTCCCTTCGTTCCATATGTTTTTCCAGTCAAGGTGCTTGGCTGTCTCCTCCGGAATGGGCTTCCCTGGTTCGTTTAGCCGTATCCTGCCCTTGTGATCAATAGTAGCGATCTTAGCCGCCTCGTCTACGATAGTCTCCAACGAATTCAGAGGAAGCGTGAGGATCTCGGTGTTATAGGCGGCTAGCGCGACGTAGATGTAGACTATGAGCATGACCAAGAACGAAGGGATGGCGAGGGCCCACCAGCGATTAGGATAGTAGTAGATACCCAGGGCGTGCAGGAACGGGGAAGGCAGGTATGCCCACAACAGGTAGATGAGGAAAGTCAGAGATGAGAAGAGGTATAGGACGAAGCCGTAGTACTCGTACGTGGGCACCTTCGGGGATGCGCGCGGCACGGGCTCAAGATCGTCGTCTGAAGCATCGGGGGTGGTAGGTCGTGATGGACGGAGTAGGGACGTTAAAGATGGAGATGGAGGTAAGGGTGTTGGAGGTCGACCGTAAAATGGAGGAGCAAAGTAGTTTTGCTGTAACGGAGGTGGAGGTAAGGCCTCTTCTTCGCTCGAGGATGATGCGTCGGACTGGTTGTCTGAGAAGAAGTTATCCTCGTCTGAAATGAGCGACATCTTTTTAGATCTTGTATAATATATAGAGCTTCCTAAGTGCTATTATTTTTATTTTTTATTTTTTCCATACTAGATAGTATTATCATATTTATTTATAGCCTCCAATTGGGAGTGACAACCAGTTGTTGTCGCATTGGAAGGTCGCATTGAACCTTGAAGATTTTACTATGTAAAGTTGAATATTAAGGTCGAAGCTTAAGAAGCTTAAGAAGTACCCAAGTACTTCGTACATAACTTATTAAAGTGCAACGCGAAGATTGTACAAGGCCCACTCTACTCCCGTACCTAGCCTGTAGGTACCTAAAGGCTAACAATACATGCAGGATCTTAGCGCAGGTACATGGTTCACCAGCCACAGGCGCGACTTCAAAGGGCTGGAGAAACAATTAGCTTGGAGCTTCAACCCCTTCGACCTTCGACCCTTCAACGCGATCCGCCAAATTAGGACCACTAAATTCCCACCAATTTCCATTACCACCTTTTGTTGCCGGAGGACTTGTTAATTTGTTATACAATTTATTATCTAAAATTGCTATAACCGATATCATGTCTTCTCAACAACCACTTCCAAATACACAGCAGCCGCTTGACGTCTACGGTGGAGGTAAGTAGTAGTAGTGCATAAGCTTCGTCTTCTCAATTCGCGATTTCATCTTCACTACCTCGTGCTAACTATCCGTGTTGCTACCCGTGCTAATGCTCTCCACCAGACGAAGTATCAGCCCTTGTTCTCGACGCTGGTTACTGCCATACACGAGCCGGTTTTGCAGGCGAAGATGTCCCCAAATCAGTTATCCCTTCCTTTTACGGTAGTATAAAATCTGGCGATGGCGAAACTGCCACCTACCGCCAAGTCTTCGGCGACGAGTGCCTGATCCCCCGCGCCGGCATAGAAATAAAAAATTACATGTCGCGCAGCGAAAGTGTGGTCGAGGATTGGGATGCCGCAACCAAGCTTTGGGAGCATACCCTCATCAAGCGTCTGCAGCCCGAAAAACCAACACCGCCGAGTAAGAATGGACTAAATGATCCGGCTGAAGACGGAGAAGGCGATGTTGCTATGGAGGATGCAGAAGAGCAGGAGAAGCCCTTGGCCGAGAACCCTTTACTAATGACCGAGGCACCATGGAATACTGGCAAAGCGCGAGAAAAGGCCATCGAAATTGCTATGGAGAATTGGGGTTGTCCTGCCTTTTGGTTATCGAGAACCCCTGTATGCGCTGCATTCGCAGCCGGCAAGGCTTCGGCTTTAGTTATCGACGTCGGCGGTGCGAACACGAGCGTTACCGCTATTCACGACGGCATGATCTTAAAGCGTTCAATCCAAAAATCGCCAGTTGGAGGATTATGGTTATCACAACAAATCCGCAATATGTGGGAGAACAACGACCCTAAAATTGACATCGTCCCATCTTTCATGGTCGAAAATAAGACCCCTGTAGATGCAGGTGCCCCTGCCCAGGCGAAGCTGCGCAAGTTCCCCTTCGAGATCTCTCCGTCGTTCCGCGCTTATGAGGAGGAACGCCTCTTGACCGAATATAAGGAATCCGTCGTCGAAGTCTGGCGAGGTCCCGGCAGGTACTTGAATCCGGGTAACGAGGACCTCGTTCGGTCGCAACCTGGCCGTGTGTTCGAAATGCCCAACGGGTCGAACCAGATGTGGCGAGAGCAGCGGTTTAGGGTTTCAGAGGGTATGTGGGATGAGACTGCAGCGTTGCCGACACCAGATCCCTTGACCAAGGCTCAGACTATCCCAGAGCTTATCAAGGCCGCCATTAACGCGGTCGATGTAGACCTAAGACCTAACCTGCTAGGGAATATTGTAGTGACGGGAGGAACAAGCTTGCTCAACGGATTTGGTGACCGCCTTAACAATGAGCTGATGGCCATGTACCCCGGCATGAAGATTAAGCTACATGCCCCTGGCCTAACGACGGAGCGACGCTTCGGTGCATGGATTGGAGGCAGCATTCTCGCAAGCTTGGGAACGTTCCACCAAATGTGGATATCGCGTAAGGAGTACGAGGAGAATGGAGCAGGAATTGTTGAGAAGCGATGCAAATAGTAATAGTCGTCAGAGACTCACATTTGCATGTTCATGATAATAAAGGGTGGATATGTATCCGCTCAGGCGTCCGGAGTTCGTAGATAGTCGGCCAGGCAAGCAGGCCGAGGCACTCTTATTACCTAGAGGGAAACAAAAATAGGACTATGGAATAATTTTTCCACGAAAATCAAGTTAAACAGATAATTTTCAATGCTGTCTGTTTCTAGTTCACCATATTCGCAAGTGATCTTGCAACGCCTCTCCGTTCCCCCAACCTCTTTAACCCCCCCTTTTTATTTAGTCCCCGTACCTTCACCACCCGTTCCATCTTGGCCATACATCGATAATCTCATCTTCGCGGCCTGCATTCCTGGAATCTATAACTAAGTAATAGGCGTGACCTGCACTTGCTATACACGAGTGATTCGGCCAAATTCGCACGCGCTGGCCGACGCTCAGCGGCGCCTCCTCTTCCTTCCGCCCGACCCACCGCAGCACGCCGTGCTCCTGGCTGATCTTCGCGACCTGCCAGCCGCCGTGGACTTCGGGAAAGTCCGACCCCGGCGCGGGCTGGGTGTCGGCCAGCACCCCCCACGGCATCACCAGCCCCCAGGCCGAATACCGCTTCCCGTCGGGCTCCTGGCACGGCTCGCGGCCCAACGCGATGCTGCCGGCGTTGACCAGGGCTTCGGTGGCGCCGTCGGGCCCGCGCGCTGGGTACACCGACGCGACGTCCGCCATGACGCTGATGCCGATCATCGAGCTGTTGAGCAGGGAGAGGTCGCGCGCGTGCGCGGCGAGCTGTTGCACGTCGAGGGTCGGGTACACGCCCGCGTGGACTTCGAGGGCGAAGTTGGAGGCTTTCAGGGTCTTGAGGAGGGTCTTGAGGCGAGACGTCGGGACGGCGGTGAGGATGTCCACTCCGTTACTAGCAGCAGCGCCGTGAACGCCGTTGGTAGATGCCAGATCGGGGTGTTGGATCGTGGTTGCGGTGGGCGTTGCGCCGACGGAAAGGACTAGCGGATCCTTTCCGGGGGCTCGCTTATCGCGGACGACTTCGGCGACCTGCTTGAGAGCCTCGAATTCCTGCCCCAGAATGCCCATGGCCTCCCAGTCCTTCCGCGCGGCGTACGAGTGTCCGGCGTGGCAGTACACGCCCAGCAGGACCGAGGACCCGGCTTCCTCCGAGGCGAGCAGCTGGTCGATCAACGCGTTGCTCTCCGGCGTGCCGGGGATAACGCCGGCGCGATTAGTCCCCACGTTAACCTTGAGGAAGACAAGGGGTGGGTTTCCGCCAGACTTGGAGGCTAGGGATGCAAGGAGAGGTACTTGGTCCACGTGGTCGATCATTACCGATAAGGCGCCTGCGCCAAGTTCCGCGGAGACGAGGGCGAGCCGGTCGAGACATGATGCGTAGAGGGGGAATGAATAGAGGACCTGCACACGTGGGTAGGGTAGGGGTAAGAAGACCAGATCGAGGCTAACGGTTAAGGGGGAGAGAGGGAAGGGTATTTGCTCACATTGATCTTTCGCCCTTTGTCCCTGTACTCTTTCAGCAGGGGAACCAGCTTCTCGGCTTCGATGATGGTGGAGACTATCAGATTTACTGGAGATGAGCTCTTATCTCCAACTTGCAATCTCGTGAGCTCTTCTGTCTAGGGGTTATTCAGTCAGGTTAGCCTAGTGTTCGTCTGTCCGCGATAGGCGTCCCCGACGCCCCCTGGGGTAATAAACCATACTTTGTGGGTTTTGATATGTGCCCGCCAGCTGAGCTGTAGCCGCTCCGCGGCTTCAAGCATCAGATTGCAATTTGCCTCGACCTTAGCCAGATCCAAGACGGCGGTTGGTGTGATGACCTCGTTAAGGTTCTTCCCCACAAACTGGGTACGAAGGATATCCTTGGATAATTGCACCGCCATTGTTGAAGTTTCCCTTGCTTTTTTTTGGATTTGGTCCGTTTAGGCTCGTTTTCCTATAGTTTACTTAACACTAGTTACTGTAAGGATCCTATGAAGTCTGTAGGAGGCTAGTCTCGAGAGATACCAGCGTGTCGGTTCAGTGTCGTAAGCTGTCCCCGGTAAGTTCGACCTAGGTAAGGGTACTAGCTTCAATACCTCAATACCCCTGAGCAGATATAGAGTTCACTTATACTCTGTGCCTTACATCGTAGAGTTAGGACTACCTAGGTAGGAATACGGCGAAGGGCGCCAGTCGACTCGTGACCCACTGACCGCTAGATAAGTTCGGTATACTAGCTTGAGTTAGTCGGGCTGTCATGCATCACAACGAAAGCACCTGCATTATAAGTGTGGTTCACGATGTAACAACCCCTACATGGGAAGGTTCGTATGTTGCGTCATATTAGATGGGCTACCAGGTTTGAAGCTGGTCTGTGTTAAAGAGGATTCGAATAAGTAAAAGTTGCCGACGGACTACTGCAGACAATAACGTAGACACCTAGTGTTTAAGCTTTCGCTTTTTTTGTCCCTTCCCGTTGCGCCATCGCCAAGATAATACACGTTTCCCTTACACAGCCATGATGGAATTCCCTGCGTAGACGAAAATAACCAAACAAAGCAAAATGGCTCTACGCAGCATAACTCGCGTTCCACTCGTTCGGGTCCAGGCATGTAAATGCGGTAGTTGTACGGCTTATCCGGGCTAAAAGAGCGAAGCCTTTTGGTGCCTCAAAGCCACTGGCTAGCGTCACACTCGGATCCGCACATGCTCAGATAGAAATCATGGGGTTTTAAATCCGATCACGGAGCCGAGTGGGAATTCGAAATCCAATTAACGTCTTGTGGATCGTCGTCGTCTTAGCATACTACTATATTTCTTCTGATAGGGGGTAGGCTATATACCTAAGATTAGTATCCGTGAAAGCTTGTTATCTACTTTGACGGGGAAGACTACGGTTGCAACCTCATATATGGCGCTATCCCAGATGATATGACTTTTACTTCACTGTAGTTTATAGGAGGTATCTACTGGAATTAGGTAGGTGTCTACCTTACCTAAGTTATCATGACTATGCAGCCTAATGGAAAATAGTAATAACAATAATAACAAGAGGTAAAATGTTAAGTTTGAGCATACCTACCTACCTTAGGTTAGGTAGGTATCTACAGAATTAACAACCAGACTTGAGTTAGGTACCTCTTTACCTGTTATTCGGAATATTACTATAATTCTCAAAAAGCCCGACGTAGCAATGATATCTTAAATATTGATGGGCTCTACCAATACGTGGTTGATATTGATTTGGTACCGACGATCCCACGTCCACATGACTCCGGTAAGCTACAGCGAACTCTGCATTTTTCACCGGTTGAGTTAGTAATAAGCACATGTTATACTTAATGCGGGATTCCTAGGAGGGTTGCGTGGGCAACAAGTACGACGTCAGACTACCAGGGAAAAGAAAGGGAATCCTTTTTGTAAACAACTTTGATAAAGGAGACTTTTAGTATAATTTTGACCTCGGGTATTCCGCAAATATAAAGACCATAACTGCGGGGTAATCACTACGGTATACCTTGTGCGTATGGAACTCGAATTTCTTCGAGGTCAGTGGAAGAGAAGAAAGTGAATGGATTCGCTTTAAAGCCTAATCGAGCGAGGCGCGATGTCTTCCTTGGATATAATTCTCTGGTATTTTATATTTGAAATTGTCCAAGTTTTAAAAAATTAATGTCTGGGAGATGATGAATACTTAAAATTGTAACTAGTAACGCGAATACTTTTTTTTGGATGGACCGTACGTGGTGATGTTGTAATTTATATTAAGCGTTGAAGGAATTCACACCAATACAAAAAAAAAAGGAGGCAACTTTTTTGTTAGTAAATAATCTTCAGGTTTCACGGCATTTGAAGTTCGAACGGGTTTGGACAAGTAGAATTTTAGGAGTACCATGTAGACCGGCTGACTAAGTGAATACCTATGTACCTTAGCTTCAGCCATAATTGGCAGCCACGATTCCTTCCTCACCTCAACTTACATAATACATAGGTAGGTAGAGGTATCTATATACATACATGTACTTCGTATGTCATTCAATATAGGTAACAGTTTTGTCCAAGGCATTTGTATCTAAAAAGCAATGTCACTACGAAGTTATTAATAATATTCTATTTTGAAAACTTCTTCCTCTCCACTAACCTCGCTATCTCTTTATCTTATTCCCAAAAGGCCAACTTCGTATATCTAAGCTATTTGGTACATAGTACCTACCATAGTAGGTAAATGCCAGTTTCGCAACAATAGGTACGTGGGTACATATGATTTAACCTTGGTCAAAACTCAAGCCTAACCTTGGAAGGCTTCTACCTTCCCCCGGGCCCCCCCGCAGTCTTGGAAAACGTACCTAGATACCTAGGTACGTACCACGTTAACGCGACTTTCTCAATTTCAAACCGCCACCAAACTCTCGAAACTCATCTTCAACCTGCGCTGCGAATCAACCTCAATTTCTTATCCTCAACGGCCCTATTTTTTCTTGGTCCCATCTAGCGCGTGTTTCGTTTTTCTAGCTACACGCTGCTCCGAGTCTTATTCTTTCGATAAAGTCTATACGCGTGGCTTCCGTATTATCCTGACATGAAGTAGCCTCGCACGGTCACCATCCCATTACGTTCGCGAACGTCCCGGAAGACGTCGACAAGTCCTTTTACGGCGCCGGAATTGCGCTAATAGCCATGGATGGCTTTTCCGCAAGTTCGCCGGCCTCGGGCCTGGTCCGTGTGGATGGGGTGGACGGGGTCACCATTAAGGAGGAGGAGCCCGATCACGACCAGGTAAACGGACAGACGTTCCAGAACATCGACTGGGCTGCGCAGGAACAACAGGACGAAGATGATATCAATAAAATGTTTGCTGATGAGGGGAGGGTTACGATGCCAGAAAACCTCGAGCTATTTGCCGACAAAGTAATTGACCAGACCGACAAAGCAGCAGACGCGATCGACTTCGAAGATATCAGTGATAGTGACCTGGCTTCGGACGATGGCTCTAGCGCTGTTGATGCGGGCATCTCGCAAGTTCCCGGGCTCACGGAAGACGAGGGAACTAGCCATGAGAACGAATATATGGATGACCTCTTTGGAGGTGGCCCTGAAGGCGAACCCGACTTTCCATCTTCACCACCTGCGGCTGACGTGGCAACCGAACAACCTTTAGGTGGCTTGACCGTGCCGACTAAGGTTACAGTGGTGAAGGAGCGCGATGTCACGGACGAGGCTTGGAAGAATATGTCGTTCGAGGAGAGGCAGAGACTTAATTTCCCTCAGTATAACCTATCCATAGATAGATGGATGAACCAGGTCAGCAAAGAGGATACCTCGGTCCAGAAGGCCCCTGAGAATGTAGATGAGCTTTTGGCACAAAAGTTTCCTGGTTTTGAAAAGCATATGACTCTGTTCTTTAACCAGCTTTTCCCGGAATGGCCTGCGGAATATATATACAAGGAGCCCCCCAATAAAGACAGAGACCCACCCGAATTTGTGCCTACTAAGCTCGAGCTTGAACTAGAAGCCGATTCCTCGAAGCTATTCAGGATTCCAGAGAGTGCGCTAGCTGCTCAAAGAGGAGGCTATAATGATGACGACGACCGGGGCTTAGATGCGACCGATAGCTACTCAGATACCTCAGACTCGGAGGAGTCACTCATTGGAGGCTTTAGCTTGGATGAGATTGCCACAGTATGCGATGACTGGAATGCCTTCACGCGAGTCGACTCTTCTATTCAGAAAGCTACTATTACTGTCGTTAAGGACGAAGAAATGGATGATTGGGAGAGGGAGTTTTTGCAACCGCAAACTAAGAAAAAGCGGAGTAGATACGAACCCGGTCTCCCGAAAATATCGTCGTTTGATACTTGTCATGTTGACGATTTCCTTAGAGAGACGCGGAGAGCCACTAAGTGCGTCAGGCTGGATTATAATGACCCTTACCTCTTGATTGACAAAGACGGTGACAAGGAGAGGCCGTCTAAACGTCCGAAGATCGAGGAAAAAACTAAGCGGATGGCCAATGGTCAGCTAAGAAGAGATGTTCTCCATCATTTCAATCTCTCGAATGACGACGCGTACGATGCACTCAAGGCGAACCACAAGAGCAAAGTTCGAGCCACTTTGTCCAATCTTTCTGTCGAGCATAGCTTGCCTGCACTCAAACTGACCTTCCCCTTCTATCGAACCAAGGTTGACGCCAGACCTTGGGAGTACCACCGCAAGAGGTTCGAGGTGGAGAAGGTGGTAAAACATGCTATTGGAGTACGCAAACCTACCAAGATCAGGCGAAAGGACACGAAAGGAAAGACCAATCAGGAGATCTTCCGCACTACAAAAGACCTTAGCTTGAATGATAACTCCACTGCAGTTCTCTTCGAATACTGTGAGGAATTCCCTATTATGATGTCAAACTTCGGCATGGGTAGCCGCGTGATCAACTATTACCGCCGCAAAGATCGAAATGACGAGGATAAAATCCCGAAACTTGATATTGGCGAAGGCCACCCGCTGCTACCTGAAGATAGGTCGCCTTTCTCCATCTTCGGCACCGTGGACCCTGGGGAGACGGTTCCCACGTTACATAACGAGATGTACCGGGCGCCGATCTTCAGACACGAGCCTAGGCCGAATGACTTCATCCTCGGATATTCAACAAACGCTACCGAAGGTCCAAAGTTCTATCTCCGCAAAATCGATCATGTTTATACGGTTGGCCAGACGTTCCCTTCATTGGAGGTGCCCGGACCCCATGCTAGGAAGGTGACAAACACGTCGAAAAACCGACTCAAGATGATCGCGTACCGCATGATGAAGAAGAAGCCAACTCAGGACGTGGGCCTCAACGAAATAACGCCTCACGTGTTCGAGAAGCCGGATCCACAGAACAGACAGAAGATGAAAGAATTTCTCCTATATGATAGAGAGAAGAAGACCTGGGTTTTACCCGAAGGCCAAACTCTCATGGACGAAGCCGCTATACGATCGATGATCAAGCCAGAGGATGCTTGTTTGATCGAAGCCATGCAAATTGGCCAACAGACGCTAGCAAATGCCGGTTACGATCCTAAGGACAGGGATGAAGAAGATGAAAACGTGGAAGAACCATTGGTGGCTAGGATGGCGCCCTGGGAACTTACCAAGAATTTCATCGATGCCAGTGCGGGCAAGGCTATGGTGGCCCTCCACGGCGAAGGCGATCCTACTGGTCACGGCCTTGGATTCAGTTTTATTAAGACCTCTATGAAAGGCGGTTACATAAACGCTGTCCAGGGCCCACTAGCTACTTCGGCGGATGCGATTGAACGTGAACGTAAGGCGAACGGCGGTCATTCGTACAATGTCAAGAAGCAGCAGGACATGTATAACGCGGCCATTCGCCAGATCTGGGAGAGACAAAAGAGTACACTTAGCGACCCTACTACGCATGACGATGCAGATGTTCTTGATACGGCTAACGAAGACGATCGCTTCAATTCGAGACAGCCCGATATGACTCCTGCGCCGCTGGACGATGGACGTAGCCAGTTCAGTCGCTTGAGCGCAGCCAGCCGTTCAGGCAGGAAGAAACTCAAGATCGTCCGGAGGAAGCAGAACGAAGCCGGAGAGACTACTACCGAAACCATCATCCTGACTAATCCGACAGTTATAAGGAGTTATTTGAGACAACGTCGAGAGCTTGATGAGAAGAATAGAGAGTAAGTCGACATAACTTGGCACGTGCAGCAGAAATCAGCTTGTGCTAATATGATTCTCAACCCTAGCGTCTACAGTTTGCAGCCCACTGCTGATGCGGATGACAATCGCGAGAAGCAGAAACTGTAAGTTTGAATACCAAAATTTCAGACAAGATTTTCTAACATACTAGTAGTGTGGACAAGGAGCTTTCGAGGCTCCTCAAGAACCAAGATCGACGCCAAATCCGCGAGAAACAAGGGAAGAGCAAGAAGAAGAAGCCTGAGGCCAACCTTGATGCATCTCCGGATCCGCCCACCGGTGATAAGATATCGGCGGGTACAACCCGAAAGTGTGCCAACTGCGGACAGGTAGGACACATCAAGACAAACAAAAGGTACTGGCATTATTGCTCTTTTCAGACCCACCTTAGAAGTCATGAAGACTAAGAGCAGAATGACGCGACGTGCTATCATTGGGCTTGTAGCACTACCAGTTCTCGTCACCTTACTCTGAAGTTTCATACGTGCGCATGCTTAGTGGCTTCCCATCAGGCTCGACTCTCTTTACCTCATTTATATACGCATCAATCATAAAGTAAGCACGTATGCTAACATACGGTCTAGCAAATGTCCTCTATTGAACGGCACAATCACGACGAACAATGGGGGTGCCGACCATGGCGGATTCGGCTCTTTCGGGGCACCATCTGCCGCACCATCCTCAGCCAACGAGTAGGTAATTGGAGGAGGAAGTTCTTTCCGGTCATTCATTCCCGTTCTCCTCGACATTTTCACATTTGATACGCCCCGACTGTAGGGACAATAATTTAGACTATGGATTAAGGTGAGGGTACTGTGGTCCTCGTTGGTACGGTTAACGTATAACTGTTCCCTTCACTTCCCCTACGTCTTCTCGGCCATGCCGATTTCTCTCTTCGAACCGCCCCCCCAAAAACATAGGACAGGTCGATTAGTTTTACCCAAAAAGGCTCTAGGATGGTAGTTCGAGTTGGTTGATACATCCAGGAAGGGTTTAGGGGGTGTGGCCAAATATGGAAGCATAGGCATGGTGTTCAGGTTCGAGAATGGTTCTGCATGGCTACAACGATATTCTCAAGGGACATTTGCAATTTGTTTAAGACTATGGAAGGTCTACTGCAACCACGAAAACCGCGTGGTTGGCCGATATATGGTCGTCCATATGCAAGTCTCCCGCTACACCCGAGCCCCTGGAACAATGGCGAGTGGCTAAGCAGATAGAGAGCGGTAATACCAAAATCACTTTAACAATTTCTAGAAGACTTCTGTAGCAGCGAAACCATGTGCCATGTGCTCGCAAGCCTGCATATTGCTATACTTAGAAGCAATAGGTGCGCGCGAGTATTACCATAAACCGCCATGCCGTCAGCCTTGAAGGTATGTAATATTGACGTGCATTTCCCGTGCCACGTGGATGCGGAGAGCTTTTTGGAGTGCTTCCTAGCATCTCTCCTTTCGTCTCTCTTTATTTTACTATTCTATCTCGATCCCTATTGGAGAAGGAAAAAAAAAGGGTTGTCTCAAGTTCCTTTTCTGATAACGTATCTTTCCAGCATGCAGCCTAGCTACCTAGGTATTCTACATCTGCAGCAGTAGAAGACATGCGGTGAGATAGGTAGCAATGAAAACTCTGACGAGGAACGCTTATCGAGAAAGGTGGTAATCAAATGCAACGGTACTTACGCAAGTGGACTCAATATTGCGACATGCGTATTATATGCATACAAACATTTACCGCTAAAGACAGAAAAAGGCGGGCAGCGAATGATAAGAGTAGAAAATGAGGTTAGTATACGACTAAGACATGTAACAACAAGACACTGTGTGAGTGAAAACTTAGACGAACGGCCAGCCTTGCGTTGGATGACGGGGATTGCGTGCGTCTTGTACTAGTGCTATACCTCTCTCTCACCTATACTCTGATAACTTACCTAGGTAGGTACATACCTACCTAAGGTATCATGCTTGTGGTAATACATCGATCTACTACGTAAGGCGGTAACGTGGTACAATGCACGGCAGCAGAATACCATGTAGTGCCCTGTGGCCGGCAAGGGCTGAAGTGACGGAAGATTGTTGTCCTTGATGTAGCTGTTTTTGGGGGCGGCAGTACAGGACGTAAAAAGCAAAGACCAAGGGCAGTGTTAACGTCGACACCGGCGCTCCGGACCCGAAACTTCGTCCGAGCTTTTATTCTCCTAGGTGCTGTAACGCAGTTATCGATCCTATCCATGATCGATCATGGCCTTCGAACCTGGGTTTTACCAAGACTTTTCAGCCCTGCCCGCGTTCCTCGGGAGGGAGAAGGGGGGGCTTGATGTGATCCGAACCGTAGGCCCGTTCGTCATGGTAGTAGGATGAAGGCGTGGCGCTGCGCTATGTTGCACATAGATCGCGCCCCGTTGGGGATTCGGTGTCGGTCCCGGAAGTTAAGAATAATCAATGAATGAATGATGATGATGCTGTGTATAGGTATCTAGACTTGTAGCCCCCAGCAACCCGTGACATCGACGGAGAGTATCAAATAAAAATAAAAGTCCCCGAAGAGTCAGCAAGCTAGAAGACATCTAGAATACGCGAGTGGATGGATTGTGGCCAGAACAAGCTATGATATTCCATCCCGCATCACTTGCATAGCTTCCTCCATTCCCACCACAGCTACAGCTACATACCGTACCATGCCTGCGTGCCCAGGTAGATACTAGGTACGCACATGCACGCGCACACACTAGAAACTAGCTGAGAGACTCCCAAGCTTCGGGATTGCAAGCATTGGCCCCCTTGAAGACGTAACTGATCTCATCGAGATGGAAAAGGAGACCAATCGGGCCTAAGATCATGAAGAAGAACAAACCCCCAAGAGTGGGATAAAGGATTAATTAGCCCAACTGCGGACAGGGGAGCGGCAGCATTAGCAGCAATAGCAGCAATAGCAGCAGCATGGGCTATCGTTCCTTCAAGGGGTTGGCCGTATTACGTAGGCACCGTGCGGCCGAACAGAGAAATTTCGTGTCAGAATTTCATAATCGCTATCATCATCATCACCATCATCGCCGTTACCAACATCCCGTCTTGTATGGTTCTGTATGTATGCAATTGTCATCGCCCAGCTTCTCATAATCTTCATCGAACTTTTCTGAAGAGCCTTCTGGAAGCGCTTCTAGCCGTTCCACAACATACGAGGAAAAAAGAAAAGAAAAGAAAGAAAGCTTCTATTTTGTCATTCGTTGCCTTTTCTCCCCCTTCCAGAATGGATCATGATCATGCACTCTGCAGGTACTGGGCGGTATACAGTAGTATTCCTGATAAGCAAGTGACCACCCTTCCAATACCTGGACCCGAAGTTTTTCTTGGTGGTAAAAGGAGATTCCGGAGTTTTGGTTTAGTTAGCCTGTTCGTTAGCAGCATACTGTATCGTGTCTTGATTCCTTATGTTCTTTTTTTTTCCCCTCGGTTTCTTCTTGTTCCTTTTGTCCTAGAATACGGGGTGCTATGACCTGCATATGGTAGTAGTACTAGTGGTAGTAGTAAGTTGTAACAGCAGCAGCAGCAGCAGCGGCGGCAGCATTATTTACGAACCAAAGATTACCGCATATAATAGCATTGTAACGTAAACACAAACCTGGGACGAATTAAGTACAGGACTTTGAATTTACCCTTGTCTTTGTTAGGGAGCAGAAGGAGGAGGTGGGTAAATTGCTTTTCTGTTTCGGCCAGTAATTCGGGCAAATTATGAGGAGTTGGGGATAAATTAGCCCACGTACACTTGGGCGAGATTGCGGGCTAATTGGTCGGAAAGGGTAACAAGGTGAGAGGATTGCGGAGTGCGGTGGGGCCTTGTGATGATTCTATAAATAGCTCTATTTTTAGCGTTTCGGGCTCGGCTGTCGTGCATTGTGGGACCCAATGGACATCGGGTTTAGTTACACAAACCAATCAGGGCCCCCGGGGGGGCCATGCGCTATGTGCAGAAAAATGCGAATGCGCGCAAACGCAAGGTGCAGAAGTTGCAAAATAGCACAGGTTTCTCGATTTCTGGTTGATGATTTGCACACATCTACCGCTACCGGGCCGAGCCTTGTAGTATCTAATGTAATTGCTCGCATCACCGAACTGCGAGATAGCCCAATAGTATAAGCTAGTTGTTACGTCAAGACAACCGATTTCTTTTTTTTTTTCTTTTTTTTTTCGTTCCAAAGATGACAGGCAGGACTTTCTCCTCCGTTCCCGGGCGCTTAGCCGCCGTTCAATGTCGGCCCCGATTTTGAATGGCTGCGCCGCCAAGCGGCAGGGAATCCTACCGTTCTCGTCCCCTGACTTGTTTTTTTACTTGTTCCTTTTTCTTTTCCCTTTTCTATCATTTTGGGCCAACCTGCTACCTCCTACGCTTGCTTGGCCATCCCGATTAGTCTTGCAGTTCGTGCTGTGCTACCGGGTCATCGTGATAACCCTAGAAATGTTATGCATGTTGGTGTAGGAAGGGCTCGGCACCGACTGTACCAGTGAGGACGCTGAGTTCGTCGCGCTTAACTTTTGCGTCTACTTGCTGTGAATGGCCGATCAAGTTAGAAACGCAGAGATTGGGTAACAGTAGCGATGGAGTTTGATCGATCTACTTTACCATGCGTTGCGGCTTTGTTCCGACTTTACATAGTAGTATAGCATGTATGAAATCGCCCGAGTAAAGCGAGTATACTGTTGCTATAATCATTTCTTTTTTTTTCTATACTTGGAGAAGTAAGCAGTCAAGCAGGCGTCAAATTATCCAAGCTCTGTTGCATGTATTGACAATTACCATCATATATTTACATTTACCTGCTATTACGTAGGAACATTACAAAGGTACGGTACTAACCAACTACCTAAGGTACCTCTAGTGTAAGGTGATGCAATAGGTAATGACGGAGGCAGAGACCGTTCTGGGCTTGATTTCCCCAGATCCGATACTCGCAGATCTCCGCAAGGGCTTTCTCCCTAGGGACATTATCCATATTGAAGCCAGCAGATCCAGCCGTATAGTATTACCCTACAGTACTAGATGTGTAGCCGGGATGCACGGCGCAAGGGCCAATATATAATGGTGTACAAGCAGGGCACGTTTTAGTGAGCCTCTAACGAGCTTTAGCGAGCGGCAAAATTCAAAGTGCGGTAGTTTCAAGGGGACTCTATATATGTTGAAAACACATGGCATCGTACGCCGCCGCAGTGCGACTTGAGATTTTCGGAAATTGGCGATGTTCGAGAAGCAGGAGAAATAAAATACACATCGAGTTTCGATTATTGGTGACCTATCCCGATGTTCTTTCTTCTCTGTGCTCGGTGCTCGTAGAGTTATACGCATCAATGTACATCCACCTAGGGAAGATAAGCAAATACCTTAGGTATCTAACGTATTACGGTATATGGGTATAGCCTTATAGGTATTATGAGGCTCTATTGGCACTTGTACAGTACATCATATCTAATATGTACCTAGGTACGTAAAAAGATGGATGAGAAGTTCAATTTGGGGGCTGTTTCAAATCATGAAACTTTTCTCCCCCCGGGGATAAGGATTTCTTTAAGGACTCAAAGACGATAGCCACGGGCCACGGGCCACGGGCGACGATGGAACGTTGAAAAAGGGCTATAAATCTATAAGGCTAGTCAGTATTCATGGATGATGCATCGTGTGATGTATTTCTCTTTACTACCTTAGGTACCTAAGCTATGGTATGTGTTTTGACTTGCTAGAAAAGGGCCATTAGGCGCTCTGTAGTCGGTAGTCAGTCTAAGCCACACGGCTGGTCAGTGTTCGTTGTTTCGTTGTTGCTTTTACGATCGTTAGCTTGACCCATCCGGCTCTTCAATGTTGCAACGGATTAGGTACACAAAGTACAATACAGAAGAAGATGCGGGCCGGGGGCTTACTGCCAGGTCCCAGGGGTCTTTTTTACTCTACCCTGTGGCACCCCGTCGCGCTACACGCTAGGGCTGGAAGGCTGGGATGTAGTGTACCTACTACCTAGCCTGGGTAGGTAGTGTACCAGGTAGGATAAGCTAGGAGGGTACCTAATTGGAAGGTACCTAACTGCCTTCTCATTAAGTCACTACCGTACCTAGGTACCAGGTAGGTAGTAAACCCCTCTATTAACCAACCATCAGACTTACGTAAGGCCGGGTTTATATGTACCTTTACCGAGTTGGGAAACTGCAAAATGTTTTCTGTGTTTCTGCGTTATCCAAACGTAACAATCTAAGTGGATAACTTTGATAGCTTACTACCTTACTATTAGTGTATTTGAGTCCAGGTACATGATATATGATATTGTTATAGGTGGTGGTTGACGTACATGTAAAGTACCTAGGTACCATAAAATAAGGGCGCTGTACCTAACATTATACCTGCATTACCTATGAAAGGGCAATGATAGAAGTAGAAGAGAGAGAGAGAGAGAAGGTACTATGTTGATGTAAGGTGCTGATAGGGAGAGCAAGTGGGTCGGTGAACGGTTAACCCAAGGACCTTTCCGCTCCTAGCGAAAAAAGAAGTTTACCTCGAAAAGTACCGGGCTAACCAGTGCTAAGCAGTATCAACCTAGCTAACCTAGCTAACCTAGCCCACTAGACCTCAACCTGGTTTAGCATACTTAAATTCTTAAGCAGACTTGTCCTGAAGTGTGTGTGACACCATCCCCCCTCCCTCTCTTTTCCTTTCCCCCCCAATTCCTTGACCTTTTCCCACTTTCTCTGTTTCTCCCGCACACAAAAAAAAACTCGAGTGAACACGATTCTATCTATTATTAGAACCAACCAACGCCAGATTCAGCCCCATCGTCCTGCAAGTCCCAAGTAGTGCACCGATTGATGATATTGTATCAATGTATATCTTGGGGAATTGATTCAAGAAAGACAAAAGAGACGACAATTCATCGCATAGCCTAGTTTGTTTACTACGTGCACAATACTTTCTTGATCATACATTTTATACATCATCCACGAGAAGTTCTCCAAGAAGTTTAGAAAAGATACTTCTCCTGCGACTCCTCCAACACCCTCTTTTCTTCATATTCTGTGGATAAAAACCCGTTCAACGAGAAACCATCCACGGGGAAAAAAAACCAAGAAAATTAATATTAAAGAAAAAAATAAAATCACCATCGACCCCGTTTCAGATATTAGAACCCGGCTATTTCTTCTAACCCTCCATCCAACTTGTCCATATCCACTCACTCATACTCATCATCCAACTCGGCCAACGTCCATTCGACTTACTACAGCCTTTTCACGTCGAATTAAGTCATCACTCGACAGCACATACAACTCTAATCCATATATTAGTTCAGTATATACTAGCCCGAAACCTTCCTCTCCCGCTGGCCCTCTGTATCTGTCAGATATATAACTATAACTTTCTTTCCTCCCGGACCGGTCCTTGGATGGGCAAATACGGTTTATGTCACTACCCGTCGCGTCGTCGCTGTCAACTGACTCGAGGATTTCATACCCGTCAGAGTTAAGAACCCTGCGGCAATTGGGAGGCAGGCAAAGCCTAATTTCTTATCTGCTTTGTCTCTCTCTCGCATTTCTATAATCTACATTTCTTTCTTCTACCAGCCTCAGATTTACAGTCGACAAAATGGGGCGAAGAAAGATTGAAATTAAAGCCATCAAGGACGACAGGAACCGCTCTGTGTAAGCTGCCCTTTCGCGATCCGAATCCGAATCCCTTGCTTTTCCCAACCGCGTCCCATTTCAATGGCTAACATTCATATCATATAGTACGTTCCTCAAGCGAAAGGGTGGTCTTTTTAAGAAGGCGCACGAGCTGTCCGTACTCTGCTCCGTCGATGTCGCCGTTTTTATTTTTGGCAACAATAAGAAGCTTTACGAGTATTCTTCGGGCGACATGAGGGAACTGATCACAAGATATCAATATGTTAGTTTCACTCGTCCCCGCACAAAGTAAGGGAAGTATTGTAACTAACAAAGGATAGCATGGTGTCCCACAGGAACATAAAGGACCGCCCGACTTCAACGGCGGTGATGACGATGACGACGAAGATGGCGAAGGTACTCCCCCTCACGGCCACGAAGGTTCCGTCGAACCCCAGATGATGCCTCATTTCCAAGGCCAACACCCTTTTCAACACTTGAGGCATCATACTCCCTGCCCTTCGCCTCCCATCAACGGAATGCCCTTCGCACCCCGGGGCCATACACCCCAGCCGCAAATCGCGTCCAGACCGTCATCTCGAAATGATCCTCGCCGCGACCTACGAGTCCCTCAGCCGGGACCTCAACCAGTTACCAACGGATACGCGTATATGCCTCAGCCGGCTATCTACAACCCCCAGAGCCAACCTACTTATCAGCATGGAATTCCACCCCCAGCTCCTGCCCAATACCAGTATAGTAATGCTCAACCCCTTGTACAAGTCCAACACTACATGGAAGAGCAGCGTCGATCGTCTGTGCCTCCTAGTTATTCTCAGCAGGCTCCGCAACCCCCGCGCCCTTCTCCGCCGCAGCCTACGCATCAGCTACCACCACAGCAACCGTCTCACACGTCTCCGCAGCCGCCTCATCAGCACCTAGAACCTCCGCAGCACCAGCAGCACCAACAACACCAGCAGCGCCAGCAGGCGCCAGAGCCGCAACAACCTCCTGCGCCTATGGAACCGAAGCACGAGCTGCTCCCAGAAAGATCTAGCCAACCTTTACTCGACACTGCATCCGCAATCAAGAAAATGCCGCAGCGTAAGCAACACAGCATTTTCACTCCGATCGACGAAAATCGATCAATTTTGTCTCAGCATATGGCCTCGTTTAACGCGGAACCCCGGATAAAAGACGAGGGCAACCGGTCGCAATCTGTGGATGTCGGCGCTGTCTCGCGTTCTAAGTCTGACTCGTCGCCTCCTCTGCCTCAGCGCTCCAATACGTCTAATTTGAGCCATTCTCGCAACTCTATTCCTACGATTCCTGAGACTACATTTACACCTCCTTCTCGTTCAAACAGTCTGAAGGTCGGCGGTGGAGCGCGCCCTCGTCTCAAGGTCCAGATCCCCGAAGAACAGTCGGACAACGGTAGCACCGCTGGGGGTGATACAGCTACTTCACCCCGCACCAACACGGACACTACTACGCAAGCAACCCGTCGAAACGGTATAGAGGGCCCTGGAACCGGCGTAGTTCTCCCTCCCCCGTCGCCCTCAGCATCGGCTATGCTATCTGCGGGAGCTACCGGACCACCAAATCCATTCGCTAGACCCCACCCTCAAACCCAGAATAACAGCATGAACATTGAAACGCCCGTATCAGCGCTTCCATCGAGGTTTCTCAACAATGAGTTCCTACCTAGTCCCAGCAGTTTCTACCCCGAATGGAACTTCCGGGGTCCTGATAGCAACACATTGCCGAGTCCCCTAAATTTCGCGACACCGGTGGTCGGTTCGGGTCCTTCCTTTCTGAGGGATGACAACGGACCGAGTGCCACGAAGCGAAAGAGCCCGGATATAACGGCCGGTCACGGTTCGGATGGACCCGAAGGCGGCGAGCCTAAGAGAATCAGGGTTGACGGTTAGTGGCGTACCGCCATGATTCCAGCCCCGCCTTAGTCTCGTGGTCAGCTATATATCATCCTTCTCGATTTAATTCGTATTTATATTGCCACTTGACTCGATTTGCAATTGTACAACACTTTAGAGAGCATTAACCGATATTCATAACTGGATTCACAATGAACTTCTGGATACTTCGTTTACTTGGTTTTACCTTTTTACCCGGCATTCGCCGGCTTTGACTTCAATTTGCGGCGAACTCGCTCGTTTATTCTTTTAAACGCCATGCACTTACTTTTTGCTTCACTTCTACGGCATGGCGTGGCGCTTAGAGGCGTTTCATGATTACTTTCCCCTTTCGTTGATATTTTTTTTCTTCTTTTCTTTTTCATCCCCTTTACTAAACCCATCATTATAATCATACGACTATGCAGCCTTCCCGGTTGTTCTAGAGACGGACATGACGAATGAGTAATGGGACATTTTGTGGTGATTCTGCTATCTTGATATCGCATTTTCTACGCGGGAAAAGTTTGAGATGGGAAACTTGCGCGCGAGAGACGAAACATGGGGACGGCGTTGGGGAGGAATGGGGATTAACAGCTTGTACATTAATACAATTTGATTGACCTAAGGTCGTTAGAGATACCAGTGGTGAATTGGGGGATACGTCTTCAAATCCTAAATGAGGCTAGCATTGACCTTGATTTTACGTCTCTTTTTTTTTCTCCTCGTTTTACTGTGATGTTTATAGATTGGTAATTTCCATGTTGTTCCTATTGCTATATCGGCACTGGGGGGACGCAGGATTCGGAAATGTCGTTAGATCCTTGGTGCCGGCCATGATGTTACGGCTTACCGGCTTGGGGATGTTTGATAGAGGTATGTACCTATCCAAGGTATATACCTATTCCTTCTGGTCGGCGAGCTGAGTAACCGGCTGTGTCTGTTACGGACGTAGGTAAAACTGTAATCTTGGAAGATCTTATCTACTTGCCTTGGCTTGGTCCTGGTGTGGATGCACATGCATGAAGGGGCGCACAAACAGAAAACGCTTCTGCACGTACTGTTTCTTTCCGGTCCGAGTTGGAGAGCTACTCTACCTTACCTGGCTGCCTGGTTGTGCTCTTTTTGGTTCTCTTACCAAATGGAGGAGAGTGTATGTGGTGAAGTAAGATACGATATGATGAGAGAGATCGCATAGCTTACCTTAGGTACAGAATAATCTAAGACAAGAGGGAAGAACCCGTCAAGTATTCTATACTAAACTATTTAAATATTTATTTACTATAACACTAGTTTCTTCAGAGGTTAGTAGAGTTTCTGCAACTAATGTCTACCTAGTTCAGCTAACTCTAATCCCCGACACCTTACGCACGCTATCAGGAAGAAGACTTTTCGCCGGAAGGAAGTGTAGCAGAGAGAGGTCCCGATACTCTGGAGACGGGACGGTGCAGCAAGCAGATCGGGCTGTACAATGCCTACTTTGGTAAAAGTGTGTGTAGCGTACTTCATCTAACCGGGTAGAGGGTATGGGAAAATAGCTCTAGCTCCCGCCCCACGTGCAGCCAACCCGAGCCCGGCAAGCCGAGCAGCTTCCCAGCAGCCTACCCGAAGTGTTCCACGCCCCCTTAACCGGTGATACACTCCCCGTACCACACCGAGGACGTACAGACAAGGTATATACCTAACCTAATACATTACACGACGAGAGCCAAGTCGCCGAGTTCGTTATGACAAGACCAACGACCTATTAGGGAATTTCTATTCCGGCCCCTGGGTATTTCTCAGTGTCTTGGACCCGGATTTTCCCTGCTGTAGAACTATGACAATGATGACTACTACCACTACTTCTGCCGCCTCGGTAGGCTATCTGGACAGAAATATACTTATTGCTATGGTTATGGGACGTATGTCGTGTATCCGGGGACCAAGCCGTGCCGTACCGAGTGGGGAGATATACTAGGTACACGAGGCACAGGTTTTTCTTTTCTCTCTTTTGGTCGTAGGGCTGACTAGATACTATAGATACGAAAGTTAAGGCTTTGAAGGGGGGGGGGGGGGGGGGGGGGGGTGGGGGGGGGGGGGGGGGGAGAAAAACGAAACCACAAAGGGGCCGCCCCGCGCCCGACTAGCAAACCCCCGGACCAGGCTAG